AACGCCGAGTTAAAGATATAGGTGTTCCAATTGCCCTTCAAAAACTGATGAAAAGCTAAATTTATTCTAATGTCGAGAATTGTCGACTTCCTGGCAAAGAGCTGTCAACACCTGTGTGTTAAAAAAAGAAAAAAAAAATTTAAACCAAACATAAATGCAGCTTAAAAAAAAAAAAGGCGCGATTTGATTATTTTCCGGTGTCGAGCATCGTCAGCCGAGCGACTGGAACCAATTTAACTTTGCTCGGTTTTAAGTCAACAGAACCACACTGCGGTTGTAAAATGTAAATTAATTCCTAACCCTGTAAGAACTATTGCCCGATGATAAAGTTTCATGTACGAAATAGAGAGTTACAAATGAAAAAAAGATAAAAAATAGAGAGAAAAAAAGATAAAAAAAAGAGAGAAGACAAAAAAAAATAAATGACCCACTTGAAACTCTCATTTGCTTTTGACTCATAATAAGGATATGATTCTGTTAATTATATCTTCCTTCTTAGGGATCTCGACGCCTGCCATTTCGCGGTCCTTCGCTCACCATTGCAACTTCACCTTCTATTCAAATTTCCTTAGTTGTATCAAAAAATAAACGATTCAGAACGGATTATTTTCAAGTTAGCTGTGGAGTTCTTTAGGATGATCCATTATTCCTTCTTTCTTTCACATTGGAACTAGAAACTTTGCTTGCAGCATCCGGCAAAATAAAAATATCGATGCAGGATATTTCACTTGGGAAGACGACTAGAAATTGTCGCTTTCTTTGATATCAAATAAAACTAACTCTGATGGGAAAATTGCTCTGTGTGCCCGGCCGTAATGTCAGAGATGGGGAAAACTTTTTTTTTTAAGATTAAGTCTGAGGAAAATCGGTGAGCGAGAAAATTTCCATTGACATTTTATCTGTTTACGAAAGATCCAAATTCTGAGTGTAGATTTTGGTTATAATAACGCAAACATGTAATTGAAAAGCGTACCTCATAATTCAATACTTCCGAAAGGGAGTTGAGGTATTGAATTTTGAATTCTAACCTTTTGGGTACGATTAGGATTTTGAAATCGTTTGCTTTCGGTCGAAAATCAAGTCTACGTGAACGGCAAAATCTGCATGATGCCTCACCTTGAGACGGTTAATTTTAGAGTGCACCGAGTGTGTTCTTTAATTATCATAAAGGAGAAACAATTTTGAGAATTCTTTAGATTACGACTTGCCTCTTGAGATGGTTTGGCTTTTCATTTTATTTTTTCTTTGTTTTTTTTCTTTGTTCAACAGAACCTCCATGAAACAGGCCTGAAACAGCAGTTCTCTACAAATATGTTTTAATTATTTTTATTATCAATTAATAAACGCGCCATACATATCAAAGACATAAACAAGAAACTTTTAGCGTTTAATTGGAAGGGAAGAGACAAAATAAAGCATTCGTCCCTAATCAATCATTCTCATCTTCGCTGGTGGTTTGTGTATTAATAATCTTGATCTTGGATCCATAATTGTGACTTGAAGATAAAATTAGGACCACAAATACTCTTGGAGGAATTTTCTAGATTATTTTGCGAAATAAGTTGGTTGTAACCTTACGAGACTGATTATAGAAAGTTTCCTTTTTCATAATTAGTTTATTTTGAAGAATGTTTGATCAAAGATGCTTTAGCGATAAAGAGCCATAAAAAGAACGATATGGTATTTAAAGATGTTGGTAGGAATCAAAATAGACGGAATAACAAAAACATACTGTGTGAAGATAAACATGCACTTTTTAAGCTGACCTTTATCATTTTAAAGATAGTGAAAGTAGTTGATCTCACTATGCGAAAACTAACCATTTTAATATGCAAATCAGATGAACTGGTGTTACCAAGAAATTTTTATGTGAAGGTGAATACTATCTGAGCCGACTCTTAGTTATGAACGGATGATATAAGTCTGAGAATTTGTATCCGATTACACGAACTTTGTTTCCCCTTACAAGTGGAAATTACTGGCTTGTTGTGGTACCATCTCTTATATATTCCTTCCTCTTATTAAGTTTTGTTGAAATTATCCGGAGCCACGGCATTCAATCATTGAGGCAAACCCATATGGTCTATCAACTTCCTGTGAGACTTTTTTAAAATAACTATAGAAAAGCATTAATGTCGATCTTTCATCCGTCTTCACCAAAGTGATTTATGATGAAAAAGATCTGAAAACAAACTCCACCCTCAGGAAAGCTTTAAATTCACAACAGATATGCGAGCCTCGCCTGGTGTTATATGGAAAAAGACCTATTCTTAACCTTGGGAAATTACTTTGGATACTAAATTAGGAGCAATGTTATGCGAATGATAAATAAGTATGTAGTACTTTTTTTTAAGATAGAGCAATTCTTACCAAAAAAAATTGTGTCCGAGCCTTCACGGTGGAATGTTTGTGCTCACTTTACTGTAAGTAAAAGATGTTATGGGGTAACTACTATTTCCTCGTAAAGAGTCTTTTTGAAGCAAAGCTTAGTCCATAAAGTTTTCTCAAAACTGCAGAAACAAAGATAAACGTAACGCACAAAAGCCGAAAGGAAGGAAAGAGTTCACTTCAGGATCGTGCAGGTCTCCAAGCCCAATTTTTTTTAAGTCACCATTTGGTGACCTTACATTATAAAATAGTCGCCCCAAAAAAAACAAGTTCGCCAGGCAAAAAGGCCCTTTATATAATATTACCTTGAGTTCAAAATTTTTGGCCTCACCGCCTGTTTTTGGAGTGGGCAGTATGGCTGGCATTCGTTTTTGGAGATTCAAGCGACATCTCGTTGACATTCAAGATAAAAAAGGAAATAGGACGAAAAAGACGGAGCTTTACTAATATTTCATTGAAGTGTCGCACGGACTCACTTGCACTTCAGACCATTACAACTAAGTCATAAAACGTTACAGCTTTCCCTATTACCGTCGAAAAATATATCTGGCCAATACTTGCGGGGGTCTTATTGTTTCGTCTACGATTCAGTGTTCTCCTCAATTTTGTGATAACATATTAATAATCTATTCTCTGCAGCTAGATTTGGTATATTTGGTGTCAGTGCTGTTATGTTTTAACTGAGAATTGTCGGCACCTGTTTCTGTTGGAATACATTAATACAACGAAGCATGTTTTCCATCGTAAAAATTACAGAGGGTAATCTAGTATTATCAACTGAGTTGGTAGCGTAAATTGGCCTCAGTAAAGAGTTTAAAAGCTGAAGTTTTGAGCGGAAGTCCTTCCTCAATCGCTCTGACGGAGGGCTAACACTCGAAACGTCAGCTTTTAAACTCTTTACGGTGGCCAATTTACATTATCAACTCAGTTGATAACACTTAGTTACTCTTATTTCATTTTAGTTGTCATTAGAGGGCCAAAAAAAAATTTCAGAACACCACTCCCGCTTGTACCTGACTATACCTACAGTACTTGTGTCTCATTTAATCGGTTTTGGGTCAGTCACTCGTTAAATGCATTTAAGGGTCTCCTAGGGGATTCCTTCTTCCTTAGTACCCCCTGATATTCCCAAATTCCCAATTCGTTCTTTGCTTTTCAACTGTGTACCCTTTACAACCCCTTTCCGACTTACTACCCCCTCTAAGTATACATATCATGTACTCATAAAGTTTTCTGGTCTTCGTAAAATTCTCTCCATTCTATTATTACATTATGTTCCTATATTCCTCAAGATGATTAAGTCCTGTTCAAGGGTGAGTTTTGAAGACAGGGGGGGGGGAGTCAGTGAGCAGGCCGTGGCTTCCCTCTTTCTCTCATTTTTACTCGTTCATGTCCAGCAGATAGGAAAGGGAAAGAAAAAAAAGGTTACCAGTGAGGGCCATACTTAAACCTAGTATAAAAGGTGATGACTCTTTTTAAGGAACATTGACCTCAAAAATGATTCTACGGAATGCTATGTTGTATCACTTGTGAGTTACTGTGGGGGGAAGGGGGTCTGACTGTCTCGGAAGTTTTTTTATCTACCCAAATCACAGGAAATTGGTCATGTTACCATTTTTCCCACAGTCCCTTACGGACCCGGGCTCGTAGGACATGAATTTACGACTAAATTCATCTCATACTTTTAATATGTTATACATGATCTTTTATGTAATAGCTGGAACTCATCTTTATAAAATTGTCTTAATCCCTTTCCTTTGACTGGACCACGTTGATTTCTGGTCCTCTTTCCTATTCCTGCCGAACGATTTATTTATGTTGTCTACTTTAAGTAAAACAGGGATCTGATACGAGCAAAGCCCGTTTGGTAACCAGGGGTTGGAAACTAAGACCCACCTCGAGAACACTTTCACCCTTAACACCCTAACATCAGTATGTATAATCTCCATACTTTTCTCTATACATTTCCCATGGTGCTGACAAGGAGAATTTGTTTAACGATCAAGAGCTTCTTTAGTTGGTGATCATTTCCTTTATTCTTGTGACCTGAATGTTTCAGTCAGCGGTGATGTTGTAAGGAGAAAATAGATGCTTATCACTCATATGAGTCAACGAGAGGGTTAACCTGAATCCAAAACGGCTCAACAATCTCACAAACATTTCCACATTTTGAAAAACTACCATAGATCAAAACATGTAAGTGTTTCTCTTTTGTGGAACTTTTGACAGGTGCTTCGTCTTAAACGGGCATGCATGCTTAATATCAATAGAATAGTTTTGTAATTTGTGCAAGGGTCTCTTGAGTATTTACTTATGGAAGTGTTTTGTTAAATATTTACGGGGTGTTTTCGATTCCTGGAATGGTGTATGGTAAGTTTTGAACGTGTTTTGCAGCTTATTGAAGTGTTTTGTGATTTGAGGGAGTGATTTTAGATTTCAGAAGGAGTTCTGTAACTCAAGAAAGTGCTTTTAAAATTTCTAACGCTCAAGATCGAGATATACATTTCTTTAAACGTGTAGCTGCAGGCATCTTTAAAATGTCAATCTTGTTTCCATGGTGATCAATCAATACTCCCGACGTTCCAGTACTTCGTGTAAGATCACTTGGCGAACGAGAGGTCATTTGTCAAGTTATCGCCCGGCTATAATGGGGTAAACTTGCGTTCAACATGGTAGAAATGACTCAAGTTTTAATGGAAAGGAAAGCAGACTATAGTCAGGTATGTGGTTAAATTGAATGTGCTCGTTGCCAGCCCAATGTGAAATTTCCTGTGATAATTTCATGAGGGGCAACCGTGGTATGCGTCGGCCTTGATTCAATCGCACGTACGGTACTGAAGAAAGCGTTATTGTCACTCGAAATCTACCCCTGTTGCTTATCGTGATTTTTTTGTGTTACTGAAGCCATTTATTATAATGTTTCTTTTATTACTCTCCCGGGAAACCCATAAAGTTATCGTGAATTTCGATGTGTTTGTGCGGCTTTCGGAAATTATTCGTCTCTGAGAACTCGGATCGATCGTCGTTGGGAAGATAGTTTAAGATGTTGTAATTTCATGTAGTACCTTACCATTTTCGCTTATCGCGATCATTATAGTAAAAAGCTCCCAACAGATGCCCACCTTATCCGACAAAATGAATGATGGAAGCTAAATTAATCGCGAAAACTAAAGTGTCATGTCGCTTTCGCAGATGAATCCGCGATTAATCCTTGTTTGCATTTATGAACGATTTTTAACTTGTAAAATAATAATGCTGCGAGATCAAAATCGTTTTTTGATTAACTGAAGGTGATTTTTTCATTGTGAAAAATGTTGTCGCATCGAATGCCGCCTCATTTTACTGTTAATAAAACTAAAAGGTCTGTAATATTTTTTTGTTGACGCTATAAACATTGCCCTTGATTTGAGCGTCAGGTTTTTGTGTCACACCACAACCACTAGCGTATTCTAAGTATTTGATTTGGCGTACATCCATTATATCAGCCTTAAGAGACAATTGAAACAAGTCTCTATATCAAAAATTGAAAGTTTGTGTCATAATTGCAACGAAATCCTCCGTTTAATCCTCCACTGAAGTTGCTTAGGACGAGCCAATTGTTTTGTCATGCTAATTCTCGAAACAGTCATTGTTCTTGACGCAAATTTAACTTCTGAATCTAAGTGCTATGTAATAAAACCCTCATAATTTATCTTCCAAAGCCCTCAGAATTTGGATTTATGGGCTTTTTTGCATAGGCAGCAATTTTTAGCGTTTTATTGTCATTATTTGAAAGTTTTTACAAATTTCTCATCGCTTGAAACGCTTTTATGGCATGAAATTTAATTTGCCCGAGTGAATGACCTGACAGAGATAAGTCGTTGACAACTCTGCGAGACAGATTATAAACAAAAGATTTGCCACACTGGTGTCTGGGGAAACAATGCTACAAAAGAGGCTTGTTTTGTTTGAAAACTTCAAGAATCTCATTTCATTTCCATTTCAACTTTTGCAAAATTTATTATAGTATCATTTATTCAGAGAGTGAATACAGATTTTGACGTGAGTTGTCTAGAATTTCTTTCTGTGCCTTGAAATAAACTGAAAAACTTTGGTCAATTAATAAATTACATCTGTAAGGTACAGATTGTTCTCACAACTTTATACTCCACTTGTCTTTCTCTATTAGTCTACCTGTTTGAGCTTTTCTCATTTGCTATTTTCATCTCAACTAAACAAATACAGGTATTAAAACAATAGCAGGTAATCTAATGTTTACAACTGAGTTTAAAATGTAAATTGGTTACTGTAAAGGGTAAAAAAGCTGATGTTTTGAGAGTTAGCCTTCGGTGAATCACTCTGACGAAGGGCTAACACTGGAAATGTCAGCTTTTTTTACCCTTTATGGTGGCAAATCTACATTTTCAACTCAGTTGTTTACACTAAATTACCTGCTATACTCTCCCACTGACACAACACCACAGTTTCTTTAGACACTTAGTCCCTTTATTGAAACAATGGTTAGAGTTTATGTTCGTGGGTGTTGATGTGTTTGGGCCCAACTCAGCAAGGGTGAAAATGACTCTGAAAGGGATCAAAACATATTTATGCCCAAGAACATGCTGGAAACTGTATTACTATTATTATCATCTTGGCAGGTGTGGAGCAATTATAAACTGAAAAAAATGTCAACAACACAATGTAAACAATCATATGCTTGTGCAAGCAGGCTTAATGACATTTTAGCCTGTCAAAATCTTTATTGTGGTTCACAAAATGTACCACAACACGCAACATAGTGATAATTACAGTTGTTAGTATAACTGTATTAGTGCCCTATAAAACATACTGCAGTCTGGTTGCCTGTGCTTCTCTATGTTTGCTCCATGATGAATATTCATTTGAGAAGAGTGAGCAGCTTAGTTAGGAAATAAATACATGAGCTTGTTTTGTTGTTGAGTTATGAATAACTTGTAGATGTAGACTTCAACAATAAGATTATTTGCTCTGAATTTCTCTGTGTGGAAGTTGACGAGGATGGACACACTTATTGACTATCACAAGATTTTGAGCTCATGATTTTCTTGCAATCATTAGATTAGAAATCTAAGGTTGACAATACATGTATCTGCCAAATTTATTATTGTGATTGCCATTTTGTTTGAAGCTGTTTGTAAACTCTGGATGCAATTTACTTGTACAAAAATCTATATTATTGGCCAATATCAGGCTGACATTTAGTTATTTCTGTTTCTTTCTAAATACTCTCTGTCTTAAGTGTTAATTAACTGTACAAGGGAACATATATGTCTGCTTGCATTAGAGAAGGGCGTAGTTAGGGGTGGTACCTATAACCCCCCCTTTGTGTTTTTTTTACGCAAACTACCTACAATAATCAGGTGGCAAAAACTGGTGATAACCCTCAGTTTGACAATGAGACCCCCCTTTTGAAAAATCCTGGCCATGCCCCTGATAGATTATCTCATTCATGTCAACAGGTTACAAATGCCTCATAAAATGTCAGGAAAAATGCTTTCACAATCATACAAAAATCTAGGCAAACTCACAGGCAGGATGTCAAAAAATCAATGTCACCTTAAATCATGTTACTTTTGTCACTGTTGATGTTAAATAGAGGGTGTAGTTAAGGGTATTATTAATAAAATATGTTTGATTTCTGACAGGCTCTTGGCAAGGCAACTCATGGAATAGTGAAAGAACCAATAGTTAAAAATCACAAGTCTCTCCTTAATGGTGACTTGGAATTTCTTGGAAGACAGAATCGTTCTTCATCAGAGGTTAGTGAGGGATGAGGCTGGATGATCTCCTTATCTGTATCACATGTTCTTTAGTTTTATCTCATATAGGTAGACTGTCCTATCCATGACACATTTGTTGTAGTTATGGATTCTCCTTGGCTGTTAGATACAAAACCAGTGAGGACTTATTTCACAGAGTTGCCTTTTTTTGGAAGTGATGATTTGATTTTCAAATTTCAGGTGTATCCTTTTCCATTATTATTTGGATATACCTCCATTTAGAATAAGATTAACCCAGCCTGTGTTGAACCCCATTTTTTTTAAGGATTCCAATAGTGGGTCTGAGGCTTGATAACTAATTATGGATTGACATGATTTTTAACATCTTGCATCATTGATTGTCTTTCTTGTTATCCTGTTCTACAGTGTTCTTCTGATTCCAACTTGGAAATGTTACTGGAAGAAGCAGATAAAATACACAGCTCAAAAAATGGTTTTCAAAAGGTAATCAAGATGAATCAAAAATGGCTAACAGCTTGATAAATTTGCAAATTCAATTGTATATTGTATTTCTGAATGAAGTTTTTTTAGGGAAGGACAATTGCTACTAGATTTGTATGAACAGTATGTAATGTAAGGGCCCTTATTCATTTTGTTTGCCAAAGCCTTTTGCTTCACAGATACAATTATCTGTAGCACAAGCATCAGCTCTGCTGATTGCTGAGACTATGCTCCAGCTCATCTTAAAATTATTGGATGAACAATGATCTTTGCATGTATGCTGCAATTTAAGCATTTGTGCCACAATTTGTGCATTTGCACTGCAATTTAAGCATTTTTAGGAAGAAGCCTGAATAAATTCTGGGGAATTTAAAAGGATTCAAACCTGTGTCTTTCATTTTGACACTATTCACATACTGAGCTATCAGGCCTCACATTGGGAGTGTTGCAAATTTTTAGATAGTTCTTCTATCCTGCAGAGGAATCTGATCACAATTTTAAACAATAAATATTATGATTATTGTATTTTAAATATATCATTGAACAGGACACTCCAGCTAAGAAACAAGTACGTTTTAACATGGATAGAAACCAAGAATACTCCTACAGCTATTCTCAAACTTCAGACGATGATACTGACAGCCATAATCTTATGAGCAATATTAATTTTGTGGATTACGGATATGATGAAAATGATAGTAATGATGATGACAATGATGACACTGATGATGATGATGACGACGACGAGGATGATGATGATGATGAGGAGAGTGATGATCACAATGATCCTGAATCAAGTGAAGATGATTCTAAGCCTAACATTGGATTTCTGGTTGATAAGAGTAATTGCCCGTCAGAAATCAATAACAATGGAAATTATTCAAGCTCTAGCTTGAAGTCAACCAAGATTAATGGAACAACAGACTCACCGTTTGTCAATGGCATTAGTAACAAAGTAGGAGAAAAGCTTTTGAATGGAACATTTGAGCTTCATGATATCAAGAACAATAAGCTAAATGATGATACGAGATTGATAGGCCTTAAAGCACAGGTGAGAGTTAAGCTTTTCGTAGTTATCTCTGGTTAGTTAAAGGAGCTTTGTCGTAATTTGTGACTGGTGAAAAATATTAGGTTGTTTCCTCTCTCACTTTTTTTTTGTGTTGTTCAAATTGAAGGTAGATTTTGCTGTTATTTTGACAGGTATTGGAACAGGTTTTTTGAGAAGCAGAGAATATTGCATGGCATACAATTAAAATTTCGGGTATTAGTATTAAATATATACTAAAACAGTGGAAAGCGTTGAAGGCGCACTCTGATTGGCTGCTCAGAACCCGAATATCCTTTGCTATTTACCTCCAAGCTACATGCGCGGGATTTGTGCCCAAAAACATAATCGTTGCTGGAATAAATGGGTTAAAATAATTTTTTTGTGCGGTACTATTGGTTAGCGAAGATATTTGCCTTGCCGCTGCGCGCCTCGGTAAACATCTAGCTACCTCCACTTCGGTGAATAGTTGTTTAATGCCGCATAGGCAAATAGCGCTTTTTCAACCTGCTGATTGGTTAATTTAGAAGAGATTAGCAATCACTATTCACCTCCGGGTAGCCGAAGAGACAAAATCACGCGTCATGAGCGAAAAAAATATCAGTTCGTAACTTACAGTACGGATCTCTAATACGGTTAGTTGGAGGTATCCGTATGAGACCAAGGAGAAATTGTGGTATTTTATTGACATATCTTTAACAGTTGGTACATTCTTAGAGTGCAAATGTCGAGTTATGGATGCATTGTATGTACGAGACCTGCATAGAGCGACCGTGCTTGAATCGTTGTTCACTAGAATTCACGGCCAGAAAATTGCCTACCGCGAATATTTTGTGCGTGCATTGTATTTTTCCGAGCAACGAGCAATACTTCTGCTCGTACTATATGTTAAACCATCGAATAAAAATTTTATTATTCCACTGTTGGATCATTTTCTGGTATTTCAACTTCTACTATGTTTGCAAATTCTTCTTACGACTTTATCTGACTATCGTATCGATCGCATAAGTCGTGGGCGAAGACATAAAAAACACAAATCATTGTAGGGTCAGTTAAGTGTTCTCTACTAACAAATGAAAAGATCTGATGCGCTTGAAAGCTCGTTTTTCGAAAAGTACGGGCCATTTTGTTGCTCCGCTTTCCGTTCGTATTTTTTGCCATGTTCTATAGTGTAATATCGTGGCATGTTTTGCGCGCTTCGATGCCCCAATATGGTAAAGTGGCGTATTAGAGATATAAACCACAGTGGCTCATTAGGAATTACATGGGACTTGCGCGCTATGTAGCAGATTAAATTATGATTTTTATACTTGTATGACAAAATATAATCGGCCTCATTAATGGACACACAATATCTTTTTGATTTTGGTGAATCACTATAGGTATTTCAGTTGGAGTCATCACTTAAAGCAAAACAAGACTCTGTTGAGAAAGAAATGTCTGATTTAAACAGCAGAATGACGGAGGCCAGAGATGAAAATAGGCAAGAGGTTTGTCATGAAAATTAACGTTTCTCATGTTGTATCATGTAGCTTGTAGGTTCACGCTCGAGAGAGGCCAAGTTAAGTTTCTCGACTAGTATATGAAAGGAGGAAGCCTTTGGTATGGGTTTCTTACCCCATTCTCATCAGCAAAACTTGTCTGGTTAACCGGGTTTAACTAAATGAAAAGCAGGAACAGGGAACTGAAAAACTGAATTTTCTATAGGATTCAAGTAGTCACTAACTTTTATATTTCAATATGCTGCATCAAAGCCGTCAAACTTCGGTTTGACTAGCTTCTATGAAGGAAACAAATTTAAAATCGTGGTTGACAAAACAGCTTTAAAACGTGTGTAAGCTTTTGGTGTGAATGGGGTCAGTGTTTATTTTTGGGAGAAATCAAGTTGTAGAGATCATAATGTGGTTTATCCCAAGACTTGAGATTGAGAGCTCGAACAGAGGAACGTATGAAATCGCCAGGAGAGCTTTTCCCCTCTTTGTTACAGGTGTAATTCTTTGTAATCTTTGTTTGGCATTAGACGTAAATCAATCTGGAGTATCCTGGTTTTAAGTAGTTGTTTCCATGTAAACAAAAACGCGAACTTAGTACAATAGTAAGTTTGAAAGTGTGATGTGCGAGATGGGGGGGAGGGGGTGGTGCTCGTTTTTTCTCACCCACCCCCTCGCCATCTGTAACAAAATTCTGTCTTTTGAGAAAAAGTGTGAGGAACAAAGATGGTTCAAATATTGTGTCGCTCTTTAACCCTTTAACTCCCATGGGTGACCTAGACAGAATTTTTCCTTGCAATATCAATACAATGTCAACAGATAAGTGATAAGAATAAAGAAAAATATTTCAATTTGGGGACAATAAGTTGATCCAATACTAACTTCTCTGAACTGACATTAGAAGAATTGTAAGGTTGACATTTAGGAGAATTACAAATTTAATCTGGGAGTTAAAGGGTTAAAAGTTGGTTGTAATTTGCCTTGCGCAGATGGACAAGCTTGAAAAGGAATTAGAAGCGAGAAGAAGGCAGTACATGACGGAAATGGAGGACATTGATAGACGAAGAGAGGAAAAAAAGTATGAACTTAAAACATTGTGCTATGTGGTCGATCAAATAATTCACTTTAGTGATTGTCTGCATTAAGGAAGCAAGTCGTTTTCCTGTATCTTGATTTTTTTTGGTTTAAGTTCAATTTTACTTGTAATCTTTGCCAATATACTAAATCGTAGACCATCGATGTTCTGTTCTGGTTTATTTTGGTCCGATACTGAGTAACAATCACCTTGTCGCACGTTCGTAACAAATGAGTAACATTTTTCTTTGTTCTACGATAGAAATCAGAATAACATATGAACCTACACTTGTTATTCCGTCTCGAAAGTCTCGAAACTCGACTCGAGCCTCAATTCTCGAGGATCGAGATACTTTTAACTTGCTTTAGTGCAGCACTGTAGTTTTCTGTAAATCAGGGGAATTCGGATTCCTTAAAGAGGTCACATATGTTTTTCTTGCTCGTCTCTTGCTTGTGATAGATGCATAAAATATCTCTTTACTTTTTGGTTTCGTCCTGGCATCCAGTAGTTTCAGCAACTTTCTCTTTAAGCACGGTAAACTGCCAAATTTATTTATTGCTTATTGGGTTTCATCGAATGGTTTTGTTTTATCCATTCTTAATATTGTTATTATTTCTGTTTAAGGAGAAAATTTGAAGAGGAACTTGAAGAATTTAGAAATGAAAAAAAGCTAGAGGAGAGAAGACAGAGATATTATGAACACGAGGTACAATGCAAAGGAAATGATTTAGCTTATTTACATGTATTTGTACCTAATTCTGAACACACGTGAAATTCAAATTGGCACCGAAAATTTAGAAAAAAATGGAAGATGTCTTCAATATTAATACATGTACGTGTACATTTTGTGTTTCCCGTTTATTTTATTATAGAATTATAATTGCAATTGAGTGAGCAACAACAGTTTTCGGAGTACTGTTGATGTTCCAATAGGTCAGCCTTTGATAATGATCTTATTTTTCTTAATCTTTTTAAAACAGTCAGCAATATCTCAGATGGAGAAGGACCTCAAGCAGCGAGCACAGGAAGTTCGAGATAGGGAAAAAGAGGTAGAGTATTTTACACCAAACTCTTTCTGAAGAAAGGAAAATTGGTCGTTGATCACGAATCGGAGCTATGTTCATGTCCGACGCCATTTTGCGTAATCTGCAAAAAATACTCAGCACTTTTTATTGATCTTAAAGTTAAACCTTGGAATAAAATCAGCCCACACGTGATATTTAAGCAGTTGCTGTTTTTTTTTTCTTTGGTTTTGCCCTTAAAGAAGTAAATTTATTTGTTCCTTTGAAGTGAACCTTGAATAAGCCATTGAATTTTCCATCCAATAAATTATGGTCCCGTTTGACTGTTTCTTTTGAAATTGTGTTGTTTATTTAATCACTGGTTTTTTTGTTGTTGTTGTTGTGCGTACAGATTCGGGAGTATGAAGAGTACTTAAATCGTCGCCATGCTGTCTGCAACGGCAAAGAAGAAGATTTAAATGTTCTTCAAAACGTTAGTAATCATTTCGCTTCTCATATTTCTGTGTAATTTAATGGTAATACATGTGAACACTTTTGGGATCGTCGTTTCAAGGGGAAGGTCATGGGAAGTTCGGTGGGGGGAGGTGTCGGAATCACAAGCCTTTTTTCGAAGTTACTGGCGTTTATAATTGCTATTGATTGTGTTGTAAGATTCCGCAGTATTTGTGTGGTTAAGTTCACGGGCAGTGTTGAGAAAAAGGAGTTGTAGGAAACTATTGTCGAAAGAAGTAAAGAAGATGTATGTACTTTTTGGTCTATCAAACAATAAGGGTTAAGGAACAGATAACCAGTTTGAGTCGCGATATTTTGCCATATTTTTGTGTACCGTGAAAGACTATTTTCCAGTTTAAGGGAAACCCAAAATATTAGTTCAGTAAGATAGAAAAACGCAAAAGAGGCATTTGTAAAACAACAAGAAAGAAGGATGGCTTAAGATGAAAAAAAAAATTGACACGGATTGGAAATGAGTACAAAATATCAGTTTGGTGAGATAGAAAAACGCCAAAGAAGCAGTAATAAACCAACAAGGAAGAGGGATGAAGAGGATGGAGAAGATTGACCTGGATTGTAAATGAGTAGAGTAGTAGGCGATATAAAAACCAAGAGAAACAACGATAAGTAGGGATGTTGGCGTTTAAAACAGATTGCAAATGACAAACTTAAGATACTGGGATAAATGCTTAGAGATTTGTATACCGTTAGGTACGTGTACTGTGTACTGTTGCTCTCTTTTTTTTCTGCTGGCGGCCGTCTTGACGCTGATGAACGATACCATATGTTCATCTCTGAGCAGCTGGCTTCTAAATTGTGTTTGACTGTAGCAGATAAATGATATGTTATTTTGTGTTCTAGGAATTGGATACCCTGGCCAAGGAACTAGAGTCCAAAAAGGCAAAGTTAACTAATAAGCATCATCTTGTGCATCAAAGCTCTGAAGAAAGCATCGCAGTGTCCACTCCTCCTACGAGAGCCAGGTATATAACACAAGAGATTGCTTTAGGAAACATATTATTATTAACGAAACTAAGGCATTACTTGTTATTTCTCTTATTTTCTAGGAGCACCAGTCGAGCAAGCGTGTCTGGTAAAGGAGTAGATTTGAGGATTGAGGAACTAAAATCTCAAAATCGACAACTGCTTGAGGAACTGTTCAGTCTGAAAAAAAGCTGTGAGAATAAAGACGATGAACTTAACGTATTAAAAGAAAAGGTAACAAAAGTAATTCTCTGAAATGTACTTTGCTTACGCATTGTTTCCATAAATATTTTGTTTCGTGAAGTAGGCATTTATGGCTTCAGTCGAATGCACCATTTTTTGTACTTACTTAAACTATTTTTTTTTCTATTTGTGGTTATGGATTTGTTGCAGTTGGAAACTTCAGAAAATGAAAACAAACGCCTACAACAGAGAACGAAACACTTGGAAACACAATTAGACCTAGCAAGAAAGTCGGCCGAGTTGGGTGCAGACAGTGTCTCGGTGGACGAGATAATGCGGAAGACCACTCAAGACATGCGCAGTGCGCGGAATTCCCGGATTATCCGCCCTTCTCGATCAGTAGCTCCGGCCCCGGGGTCGTCAACTTCAACATCCGCGGGTGTAAAGCCCCGCCGGTTTTCTTCGAATGATTCACTCGGAACTAAAATCACCAGTAGCTCAGACTCAGGAAAGGGAACGAAGGAGTCGGCAGCAAAAAGCTCTAAAGGATCGTTGGGCAAGAAAGGTAAAGACAACGGCGATGGAAGGCACAAGATGGGAACAGAGAAAATCACTAGTACTTTATGTGCTGTTATGTAAGCGCTGTTGTGGTAGTTACCATAATCAATTTGAATTTGGAAGGCATGTGAAATTATCAATTGGAGATATATATTTTTATAATGGGTTTCTCTGAAATCGTTTCTGCCATTTGGTAATGCAATTGGCTTTCCTTGATTAAGAGTTCGCAGTAAACACTCGTACACACCCCGCACATACAACATTCATTTTTTCGTCTTTACACCGAAGAGGTTAAGTTTTCTCCAGTGACCTGAATGCCCCTTCAAAATCCACAAATCATTCACTCATTACATCATCAACCCGTTTCACTCTTAAGATTTGATTAGTAGTTCTCCCATCCAGCTATCATACATTTCATTGTAAATTGGTAAGAAGAATTTGATCACTGATCAAATAATTGATCAGTAAGAAGAATTTGATCACATCTGATCACTTGTTGCGCTAGCCTCATTGGTTCAGTGTAGAATAATCTCGATCATTCATAAATTATTCTTATGAAATTATTATTATTTTGCCATATCGTTTTACACAGAAATTCTCCCCAAATCGAGTGCAAGATTTTTTGTAAAAATCGTGATCAAGTCAGCAAAATGATTTTGGAATTAATATTAGCTGTTTTAAAATCAGAAATCGTCAGAGTATTTATTGCTAAGGTTTTGTACATATTTGCTGGACAAGTAATACTTAAAAGTACCATTTGATACTGGGGAACAAAATCTTTCTCACGACGATAAAATGAAAAACGTGGTAATAATATATTTAAAAGTTGACCATCGACTATTTTTGAAACAAGTATATTTTATACTTCCAATCGTGGCTGTAAATATACCGTCATCGTTATTTATTGAGGAAAACCCATTTGTGGGTATTTCATATTTTGTTGCAATAAATAAAAACAGGCTTGAAGAATACAGTAAATTGAAAGTGTGTCGTTTTTTGGTTATAACTGGGCGAAAGGAATGGCGAGATCTCGAAAAAAAAGGATAACAATGCCACTACTCCTACCGGGTCACCTGAACGAAATTAAGAAATGTTGTTTTGGGAGGCGAACAATAATGATTCTACCTAAATTCAACCAGTGCCCATCATTTCAAAAAACCTGAAGGAAGCAAATACGACAAGGCTTTACTTGAAGTTCCTTGCTCGTTTCCTGGAATCGGATAATGAATTATGATGCAACGTTCGAAAGGTACCTTTTTAATCTGTCTAAAGATATCTTAGGATACAATGCACTCCACAATTTTCTACACAACTTCTATTGCATTGTTTTAGTATCCATTTTCAACCACGCTTACGCAGAAATGACTAACAGGTACTATTGGTTCCCTTGTTACAGCGGGACCTCCATGCTGCAATCTGTCAGCGTTAACATAAAGTGGTCACGCTGATCATCGATAGCACTTTGTTCCATTGTTTGTCCAATTGTTTCTTCCCCTTCTTGAACCCAAAAGGACTGGGTCTGGTGCCCTGCAGGCTCATCATCCTTTTGGTCAGCATCTAACTTGGGAAGAAATGGTAGACAGGCGTCTAACATCCCGTGCATCTCCAGAAACGTCTGTAGGGAAGATGGGAAAAACATGTCATGACACTTAACAAAACAAATTCAAGTAGAATCTTACTGCGTTCCATTTTCTAGTGAAAATTGGCATGTCTATCTGCGTTCCTACAAGAGTGAGTAGTCGGATGGTAGACTGTAAAAAACTGTGAAGTACACAAATGAAACCACTGAAGCTGAGGCAAATGGAGTCGTGGAAAAGATTTCTTAAGCACTTGCACTGACAATCCTTTTAAGTGAGTGCAAGAGAAGTACCTTCAAAGGTTAATTTTCCGCGGCACCGGCTGATGACAAGGCTCACGCTCGGGGTGCGTAGGCACTCCAAAAGAGATATATTCCTAGCTGATTTCCGTTGAAGGAAAAACATTTTTGGTAGCAAAGCCACCGGGAGAAAGGGAGCACCGTTTTTGTCTCATACTTAAAAGAACATGTCTTACCCATAGTTCGTCAAACCCTTTCATCTGGTGAGATGTTATATACTGTGCCGACGGCATATCAAGGTGCGCTTGGTGAAAAAGTTGGACAAGTTGTATTGCATTTTCCAACCTGAAACGAAGAAATTGCAGCCAAGAAGAAAAGAAAAATTTAAGTTTACTGCTCGTTGGAATACTATTTTTATTTCTCCTGGGGTTGGTGGTGACATCAACGTATAACAAAAGAATTTGCTCTGCTTGACATCGAGGGCGAAGTAACTCTTACCTAATATGGAGAAATATCTAGAATAAGGGCTGAAAGGTCTACCTCACGAATAGCAATGCAGTGAATATCTTAGTTCAGACCTCAGTTGATACACAGTATTACAAACATTTCAATCCCCAATTCTCAAACATTTGCTGAAATAGATTGATGCTCCAAAAAAGAGATACGCTTGAACTGAAAATTATAAAATAGGGGGACATTGCTAGATTGAACACCAGGTTCTCAGAGCTAACAGCATAAAAAAGTATGGTGATAGAATTTATATATAGGTACTGGCAACGAAAGGGTTGAACCCTTTTTAACGAACCTTGACAAGGGCGTTTCTTCAGAAAGTGGAGTGTTAGTTGTTGGACAATATGAGACATCAAGGATAAAGTTTTCGGCGAAATCGCAATCACCGCATCGGGCACACCTGGCGATTTTCGCCGATCGCAGCTATCGGAGTCGCCGGCTTTAATGTTTAAGATATATCGTTTTATCATGTGACTGTTATCGTGTTTATAAAGAAAAGACATCAAGTCGTTAATGTCCATTAGTCATTTCAATGAAGTTACTAGTAGTATTATATCAGTTACCTGCCAGCTTGTATTGTCTTGAGTAGAATCCCGTTGATGTTTTTGCCCATGATAAGGAATTTAAGCAATTTGTCAAAATAAGCTGTACCGAGGAGTATCTAAAAGCAAAACAAGAAATTTCGAGAATTCGAAGTCAATGACTAGGTTGTCGTCTCACTAAAAATCACAGCATCATTCCCACGTACCTGATACTCTTGTTTTTGTTCGACATATTTAAACACCTCCTGTTCAACCTATGGACGATAAGAATGAAAAAGAAATTTGAATACCAACGGTGAGGTAATAAAACGTCTAACGTCTGGTCGCCTTATCTTATTGAAGTTGGACGACACATCCTTTTGAACTTTTCTTGTGATTTTATTTGTCTGGTACAGAAAATGTTTATGTCATGCAAAAAGAGAAAAAACAACGGAAAAAAGGTTTCGCAGACGAGTAAAATAAACAAAGAAATGATCCTCAGCTTGTGGACTGCAGTGTAATCAATCGAACCCATACCCCGCAGATACTAGTTGAGGCTACCAACAACTGAGTTACGAAGTCACACTTTGGGAACGAGGCAAATTTTAGAGGGTTCTTTTTTCCGCAAAGGAATCTGAACACAATTTTTTAATGAGAGAAATTTCAACAACGACAACAAAACCAGTAGCAATAGTAACAAATGCTTACAGCATCAGGTTGGATTAACGTGTTTCCTCTTTGACGTTGTTCGTCCAACTGAGCAAGAATAACATTCACACAGTTTGTCTCCAGCAGTGCCTGAACAGGGATGAAAGAAAGAGAAACGTCGTTTAAAATGATAAGGGAGACTTAAAAAAAAAAAAATCTCCACTAAAAACAATAAAAAACAACCCAATTCTCTGGTGATAGCCCTTCGCTCTGACGAAGGATTAACGCTCAAAACATCAGCTTCAGAAGCTCTCTACGGTGGCCAATTTTAAGTATCAACTCAGTTAATAAAACCAAATTATCGTGTAATATATCCCACCGACGCAGCAGCACAGTTTCTTTAGAAGATTTGTGGTGTTAAATATATCATTGTTAAGGCCCATATGAACTTATATCCACGTTCGATAACAAAATTGCCAACCAACATAGCTTCGCAAAGTTGCTTGAAAATAGTGAAGATACCCTCTGATATCAAACCTGAATATGCTTTTCGCGCGCACTACTTGACGGGATTAGAAGGAGACAGGCCAGTGAGTGGGCCTGGAGACCAACTTTGTGGAACTGCACTGCGATGGAGTACACATCAAGGTCAAGGAGGATAGGACATCTTGAAGGAAAGATCATAGGCTTGAAAACAAAACACTTGATTCATTCTGGAACAATCAACTTCAATCAGGATGATGGTGTGGCGGTCAGTAGCATAAAGCGACAAGGGTATACTACTTCTAAGACAAGATGGGGTTATAGTCCGGGGCCCAGTTGTACGAAAGCTGATTAGCACTAACCCAGAGTTAAATTTTGATCCGGGTTTCTCTATTTCTCAGTTAAAGAGCCTGTTTGGGATGATTTTCTCTATTCTTTTAAGAGCATCCCATCAGCAAATTGTAGACAAAAATATTTAAACTGACTTTTCTTTTAAAGCTTTCAGATCTGAAATAAAATTTTACACTAAAGCGAGGTTATCTTCATCCAGCTTTGAACAACCCGACCCAGGGTAAATGACCACTTTCCTGCATTTAATCAGGCTTATGCGACAGTCTGATGGTAGCCATTTAAGTGAGAGAAGCACCTTAAGAGTCAAGTGACTTGTTTGAAACACCTCATAATGACGACTCTCTCGAACAGGGTCAAGCGCTCATGACACTGGTCCATTACGCTTCCAAAATCTTAGTATACTTCTTCTGAAATTTGTAAAGTGTAAACAATTGCTTTCCATGGGCAAAAGGTCAAAATAAAATGAAAGAGAGGCGGCTTAAACCTTTGAAGGATGAAACGTTATGCGATTATAAAGCATCTTTTTGTCGACACTGCCAAAGAAGAAACCTCAGTTTTCGAACCAAACCGACTTCTTTACCTCTGTAGTAGTGATGCAGATTCTTCACAAGCAGCGACCTCCTCCTCTGATAACGGTGTAGAAACTACGAGACAAAAACGAAGCTCGAGACAAATATCTGTTAGGTGGCACACGGTGCATATGTTACAAAGCTAACATCTCAGGATTGTTTTATTAAACACCCCTTGCAAAAGGAAAAGAAAATATATACCAGCCGCAAACTCCTCCGATTCAAAAGGCAGGTAAGAATGTCAAAGGGTAAAAAGAGGTTGTAAGAAATTAGAAATGCAGCTTGCCCTTTAGGATCGGATTAATTAATTTCGCGTCCAATTCTTTTCTTGGGCCTCAGAACCGAGAGCGAAAATAGAAAATTTGTTTCGCAGTGTTAGGACTCAGAGTCCCTTAACCTGCATTGCAGGCGTGTTATTAGGGTGAGCGGTTAATATTAAACGGGACCGTTTATCTGATCGGCCATGTTTGAATTGGAGTTAGAGTGGACGGTGGGGGCAGGGGAGGGGCGAGAAGTAATCTTCACTCCCCCACCCTCACCCCTCTCCTCACTTTTGACCATCGACCGCCTCCTTGGTACAAACTCCTTTCGCTCCCCAGCCTTCCGCTGCCATTAAAATCAAAGATGGCGGCCATAAAATACTGAGCACTCGCTTGCCAAAGTTACGCTTGCCAAAGTTGTTGAGTCATTTAGAAACTTCAGCATTTGAAGGAATTCAGCAGGTGAAACCAAAGCGATCACAACAGTTAAAAATGTCTCGCTTACAGCTCTGCACTAAAATATGTTTTCACCACAAACCTGATTTGAAGGGGGCTGTTAGCACACTTCTCCATACTTGAGGCAAACAGCGAACCTTGGAAGTTCAAATATAGAAAGCTTAATAATGACAAAATGACCAGGTAGGGTTAATTTTTGTACTTAATGATGAAAATCACAACAAACACTTACCTGCCACAGGTCAGAAATCCCAGCTAAGTTAACAAGAACCCGACGAAGGTATTTTATCTGAAAAAGGTAGAAAAGGTAGAATGATTTTCAGAGACAGCCATGTAAGTTGTAACTACATTTAACGATTCCAAATTGCCGTGCGTCTGTTCAGTAATAGATCACAGATGACGTCAAAATGTGGTAAGAACAAAAAAGTGGCACACGAGGCGCAACCGAGTGTGTCACTGATGTTCTTACCACATTTTGACGTGCTTTGTAATCTATTACTGAACAGACGCACGGCAACTTGGAATCTATTTTTTTTATATAATAAAGAATTAAAAAAAGTTTTAACGATGACGTCATCTATACGTCTGTCCTCCAATAGATCATAAGTGAGAACCAATCAGAATGCGTGCATAGTTCATGGTCAATATTAATCAGCATCTTAAAGCCAGGAAATTAGATTGAGAACACGAAGTCGAGGAAATAGAAAACTGAAAAAAGTTTGCTGTTTGACTCGTTCAGTTTGGTTTTTCTATCATTTCGTACGTTTCTTTAAGAGAAATAGTGTGAGGTTTTCCTATACCATTCTAAGAAGAAAAAAGAAAGAAATCAAACGTCTGGAAACAGGATACTTTTTAATTCGCACATTACAAGCAACCCCAAATTTATCTTCCCCGACCTAGTATTCCAGTCTTGTTTCCAAACCAGTCAAGCATGGGCTGTCCTAGTATCAATGGTCCAGCTCAAATGTGACCTACTCGATAAATATAACTCACCATTCCAAAAGCCAGAAGCTGCTGAAGAACACTGTTCCACAGCTGAGGATCGTTTATGTTGTTGTCAAGACACAAGTCCGCTACAAGACGTACAGCCTGAGAGGAAGTGGATAGTAATAAAAAAAAATCCATCCATGGATACAAGAATAAATAGCGAAATAGCGAAGTAAATATAATCATAAAGAACTGCACAAACAAATAAACAGTATGCACTTTGAGCCAGGATAAATGAAATCTTACAAAGGACCTCTTGAATATTGGCCAACACTATTGGTTAACATTAGCAACCAACCACGAAGACCTTGCCCCACAACATCGGAAAACAACATTAATATTGGCCAACAATGAAAGTACTGGCTATTAATGTTGGTGATAGTGGCCAACAATTAGAAAATTGACTAACAACACTGGCAACATTGACTAATAACATTTACGTATCCACGCATTTAATTTCACCTAGGTTTATACCCCTCTAAATCTGTTGAATGTGTTTCAACATGACAGCACCAACCTTCCTCTCGTGCTTATGGTTTCTCCACAGTCCTCGTACCAGTCCTTCCTTGTTGCATTTGTCAAACGCGCTTGCCGACTGCTGTATGTGTAATCCCTCGAGCTCAGCGAGACAAACTAGAGCCTGCATCTGTTGCCTGTCAACGGTACCAAAATTAGTGGGAAAATATGTCGTGTCAAGAGTAGGTGCCCTTTGAATGAGTTCAAGTTCTGCCCTAGGGATCTATATGAAAACGGAAAAAACTAATCTCGGACCATGGGTCCGCTTCACTGTGGTGTTAAGTGGTTAGAGATGGTGAGTATAGACTTAACATTCAACGATCATGCTAAAGTGTTACGACCGTTAACTTTCAAAAATTCTGAGTCCCCATGCGGAATCGAACCTCAAATCTTCGGATTCCGCGCTCCGATGCTCTACCACTGAGCCACAGAGACCCCATGGTGAGCGAGGTCTATTACAAAGTTCATATGACACGCGGTGGTAGAGCATCGGAGCGCGGAATCCAGAGGTCTGAGGTTCGATTCCTCATGGGGACTCGGAATTTTTTCCTTTGTCCCACGCTCGTGACAAGACGAAAAAAACATCTTTCTCTATTTCTTTACCGAGCTAAAAACTTAACATCTCTCTTATTTCTATCTATATCGAATCATATTACACCTTTAAAACAAAAAAAGATCACAATTCGCCTCCCAATAGAAGAAATACTTTCGTGCACTTAATATGTGTAGCTACTTGTGATACAGAACACTCGTTCGAGCCTCAGCTAATTCGTTATCTCACCTGATCACGCTGACTGAAGTTTTGCACAGTTTTTCAATGAATTCTCCAGGAGCAATGGCGAAAAGAGTTCGAAGCGCACGTAGACGACAGGTGCTCGAAGACCCAGTCTAGAACAGTAATAAAAGGTCACCAGTGTGTTTTGTGTGGCTTTATAAATCGCTTTAAAAAAATTTGGGATTATATGCTTATCTTTAACCCTTTACGCCTTAACATCAATATACATTTTCTCTATACTCTTCTCCATGCATTTCTTAAGGTGCTACTGAGGAGAATTTATTTAACAATCAGGAGCCTCTTTAGTTGGTGATCATTTCCGTTATTCTTGTTACCATAATGTGTGATTCAGGAGTGATATGGTAAGGAGAATTTGGATTCTAGTCACTCTTAGGGGTTCAAGGGTTAAAAGCGCTGGAGATCTCTAAAGGCAGGAACAAAAAAAAAGGATCTGCCAGTTGCAAAACACCTGGTAACATCGACTCAAAGTACTTTTACATGTAAGTAGATAGGACAAAAGTCCACTGTTTCTAAAAACCCAAACACACAAAAATAAACATATCACCTAAAACTGATTGGTACTCATATCCATACAAAATACTTCAGATTCTGGCGTCGAGCCAGATATTTAAAACCTTGTACAAGGCCTTAAGTTTCTGTACCCTAAGGAGATGCTAATCAGTAAGAGTAAGTCTACCGTTTTAATTCTGATGGTAAAAATTTTTTTCCTTGTTCTACGCTTGAAAGAGATGATTTGATCATCATCCTTCCTTGAATCTTACCTTGTTTGCAAGATTGAGAAGGAATGTAACTGCAGTTGGTCGGTCGCTGTTACTTTCCATGATGTAGATGACCCTGGACGAAAAGAGAAAACGTCAGAATAATGATCAACATAGCACGACGAGAAACTATGACGCCTGAAATGTAGATCTCGGACGAAGTAAAGAGCATTGCATGTGGGATAAACAAATCGGCCTTGGTAGCTTCGAAATTCAGAAGGGAGAAATCGAGAAATTTAGTAAAAGCAAATATATTTGAAATATTTCATCAAGGGAAAATTTCATGGTAGACATGCTCTGCAAAATTGCTTATTCCTTCCTGCTAAGACCCTCTTGATATAAACTAGTCTCCTAGTTCAATGAAATATTCAGCATGCAACAAGAAAAATTCGTGTGTTTAGTCACCTTTTCAAGTTCTGCTCATCTTCTTCATTTTCATTATTTTCCTCACTAACAGGTGTGATCAACTGAAGATCAAGTTTTCATTAGTAAACATCTAACAACAACTTTTACTTTAAAATCTAAAAAGGCGTAATTTTAGGTGTGAACATGTTGAGTAATTGGGTACTTTTTACGTTCTTCATCAGAGCAGGGGACGTAAGAAACTGCTAACTGGAAAGATGAGAAGCGCTTTAAAAAGCTTCAACGAAAAAGGAGCTGTGGACAACTGTGAAAAACGCGGGGGCTGGAAGTTTAAGTACCCAATTTCGTCCAAAATTCAACTTAGAGGTTTTTTCAAGTTTAATTCTCAGCGTTGGACCTCGAGCAAAGAAGTTGATGTCTGGTTAACTGTACGGCGCTTGTGTTAGAGGTGCTCTTTGACTGGTTATATCCTTGTTTCAATGAATTATCTTTCAGTATGAGAACATACCATGTTTATGTATGTGAATACATTTATTATATCGCAGTGCCCGTGGTCAATAGGAAGCGAATCCTGTGTTCTGATTGGTTACCCGAGCCGCTCGGGATTGCCCACTTTGATCCCGCGCAAAAACAAATTTGAAACGTACATACATCGGCGATAGAGTTGCAAAAGGCGGCTGAAGACAGTCGAAACAAAGGAAACATAGACGACTCTCATGGGTTTGTCCTACAAACACAGTTGGCTCTCTTTCCCGCCTCTCGAAATAAACAATTCTCGGTCCATAAAATCGGGGGAAAAAAAACTCGGCCAGTATCTAGTCATCTTGACATAGACTTGGTCAATAACGCATATATAGTTACATCATTACACTGAGGTAAATGCTGCCGGTTTTGTTTGTTGTTTTGCCCAACAGAACAAGCCATACTAAAAGAAAGTTCGTTCTATTACCTCCGCGTCACTTGATGTTTCAGCTGAGGAAGGCAGCCATTTCTGAAAACAGAGACGACAGTCATTGCAAGGTATGAGCAATTATGTTTAGGAATACAATGATAAGATTACTTATGTTTAATTTAACCATGGTACTTAAAAAAATGTAGAGGGCGCTGAACGTGTTCATTACACCGGCTGCTAATTGTTTTTTTTAAGTTTTCTCTTATTCCTGTGTAAAGCGTTTATCCTACCTCAATTAAATAAAGCCTGATCTTCTCTATCTTGGTATTGTTCACACTTGCGATTTCCTCCGCAGTTTTGTGGATGTCTACACAAATAATTCATTAGCACTTTAACTCGGTTTAAATGAAAGAAATCATAGTCTAGGTGGCAGATTGGGGGAAAATCAATACAAGAGGGCTCACACAGGGCTTAATTCTTCGAAAATTATATGCCGAAGAAGTCTCTAGCTCTTCTTTGAACGATAAATTAAAAATGGAGCTCCCTTAAGGAAGCAGAAAAGAGTGTCCATCATAACTGGAGCTGGACGCTTTTGGGAACGACCACTTGAGCAGCCGCTGGTATTAAAATTGACCAGCACCAAACGAACAACTACCGATCTCTAAAAATGGCAAATGTAAAGACAACGATCCTCGTTTATTAAGTCCACCGAGCCGCATATACTCAGCCGACTGTAATTCTTGACCCCTCAAACGCATTTGGGGATTGCAGGAAACAATACAGACGCATGTTTGAATGGAAGCAAACGGAGATTTTAAAAGCAGCCGTAAATAAGTAACAAGAGCTTCTTCGTTGGTCTTTTGAAGAGTTAATACTAGTACCTGGTGGTAGGTGAGCAGTGCCTGGTTCTCTCGCTCCATATTTCTCATACAGCTGACAAACCAGTTTGGCCGGTTTACTTGTTAGAGAAGCGATGGAAGGGTCTACAATGTTATATTTGTGGAGTACATGTTCAGTGGCCACGCCCCGACACAGCTCCAACAAGCGGCTATGGGTGAGTTTTGCCTTCTCTTCATCCTGAAATATGTCAAAAGTTACAAAATGTGGTGCTTTTCAAACTGGTCGGTACGAAAAAAAGTGTAACAAAACCTTTCACAGCTGCCATACAAGTCAAGAGATAATGCGTGACACCTCATACCTAATACCACTAATTTTTCAAAGATAACATAAGTATTCCCGGTCTATGAGAGCCACGAGTGACAATGCTTTAATTCTATTTAAAGAGTAAAGGTTTTTTCGAAGAAAACCTAGGAGACAAATTACAATACCTTTTCAGAACATTCTGATTTCCAAGTCTTAGCAAGGTCAACACAAGTCTTCAGCATATCTATTTTCTCCTCGCCTATAGGATGGAAGCCAGACGGGGAAAATATTACGGTTCTCTCTTTCCGCAAATCACAAACATTGATGAGACTGACATGTCGAGATGAGTTCACTAAGCCCGCAAATAATTTTTGTCGATTGGTAGGTCATATGTCAGGCTACGGACTAGCTTTAAACCGACAACAGGCGTTCAGAGTCTGTGAATTTTGACCTTGATGCAGAATTACGCAAACGAATTGGAACCACTTTGAACTTGTGCGACTTTGTTTCTCCATGTCTCAGGAAGTAAAGCTGTCGCTGCCACTTACTTCTCACCTCGCGTTTATCGGCTTTTCTACTATCAAGTTGCTAGTATGTTAAAGATATTTACGATAGAATGATGGTCTATGAATGATTTATAGAATGATGATTATCGTTGAACTGCGCCACGAGCTATTGTTAATGAGCGCTATAGAAATAAAGATATTGTTATTTATCATTATTGACTTTCCCCTTAACTTTGAGAAATATAAGGTATAAAAAGTGTAAAGATCTAAGAGATGTTTCTAAAGAAAATGCTACTATTTTATTACCTAGAGGTAAATTTTGAGCGATCCACTTGGCAGCGGCTATGGCCATCTCCTTGTTGTTAACAGCGTACAGCATACTCTTGGCCTTTTCGCTGTTGTAGTTCTTCACCAGTTGGCTCGGTCCTTCATTTACACTCAGACCACTTATGTTGGGATCAACATCAAGATTACAAGGAACCGCTGGACCGACTGAAGATCGCGCTAAGTTACGTATAGCTGTAAGGTACATCTCATCACTGGAAAGCTTTAAAAGGAAAAGGTTCGAAAAAATAGGTCGGAAAAACTAGAGGCATTAGAAATGATTCACTAATGAGCTGTGAACAGCTAGCTATTCTTTGGAAAACTTAAAAGTGTATACCTTGGAACGTATATATCTATATCTTGTTAGTCGACAACAAACGCCTCACCTTGAGCAGGTTAGCAATGCCTAAAAGCTTTGGAACTGTTTCCTCAGACAACTCGGGAGCTGAAAATTGATTCAGATAGAAAAGCTGACCATGAATTCAAACACGAAGGATCTTTTCCGGAGCCAGGTAGAACAATATCTGTCCAACATAGACAAACATTGAAACATCCAAATTGACTCAGCTACTTACCAAGAATTTTCCATGGATTCCCGTAAAGCAGAGAATGATATGGGAGCCTCGTTCTCGACATTACGGACAACGGTTTATCGTTGTCCAAGGTGGCCTGTGAAGACGTAAAATGTCAGTACACTGTTAACTCACTCTCTAAATTGTATTTTGTTGATATGGAATCAGGGACCCAGAGAAACCAAAAGCAAAACAGACAAGCTTAACAATTTCAAAAACTAAGTGAAAAAAAAATTGGGCTGTCGACAGTTAGTTATAATATTATATCAAACCATTTTAACACTACAACTCCCAGAAGTGATTAACATGGAACTTCTTCCTTTGATCTAACAACAAATTCTTGTATTTAATTTACAAGGATATGTGTAGAAGCTAGAAGGGAGAGTTAAAAATCAGATCTTGGGAGTTAAAGGGTGAACCTAAGAGACAGCAAAGGCTACGCAAGTGTTTTTAGGGACATAAACTCGCTGTCTTGAACTACCAAATCAAAGGTCCATTTCAATGAAATTCTTTTTTTTTTTTTTTTAATTGGACCGAATGAACTCAAATAGGGGCCATTCACACCCTTCAAATTGTTTCATACCAAGTCTAAATATTTGTCCAGGAAACGATAAAATTAAAAATGTCGAGGTTGAGAACAAGCGTTTTAAAATTTCATTTAGGTCCTCACCTTTTCACTGTCAGTATTCTGTGATGAAGAATAAAACGATCTCTCATAACTGGTTGGCACTGCTTTTCGCTCATATTGATACAGGTAGTCCAATAACTGAATACCCTGTAAGAGGAAAAAAAAACCAGACTAGTCTTTCATGGCAGGTTCACAAGAAAAAAAGAAATTTCAACTACAATGCCATATGTTCGAGTTTTTCAGCTTTGGAGCAGATGTCTTAGACCTCAGAATCTCCGTAAAATTACATCGTTATGTCCCACGACATCCTTCGAAAGTTCCACGCGGTTTAATCGAGAAGCAGCATGTTTAAATCATAAAGAACAAAAGTCATATCAACACAGGGATGTTAACTGACCTGAGGCAACAATGAGTTGGTTTCGTACCTTGTCAACAGTTGAAGCAGTTTCCTGAGAGAGTTCCTTCACCAGGTTGAGTATGAACAGAATTGTATCATAGTCATACGGATCCACCTGAAAAGCAAGGTATGAAAGTTTACCTCACATTTGAATTTAGTTAGATGACAATTAAACCATGTTAACCACTGCGAGCTTAACGGGCGTTTAGGGTCAACATTTACTGTCAAAAACACAGAGGCTCGCGCGGTTGGATCTTTGTGTTCGAGAGCGGTTTTAATAGCAGTTGTGTTTCAATCCTGTGTGGTTCATTCGGCTGTTTACAAGCGTTACCCCATCCCTCCCCACCCTACTCGTCTTTTCCTTCCACCGATCTAATCAGTGTTGAAGGGTGCCTAGAACGAGGGGCTTGTGCCTAGGGTGTGGCGAATTTCCAGCCATGAGGGTGGTAATCTATCTGAAGGTTGAGCTAGCCTGAGGGTACCCCCCTGAGGTGCGTAACTTTCAATCATGGGAGGCAACGGTTGATAAAGTTGTAACTAATACAGGGCGTGAAATTAACTTTTTTTTCTGATAGCCACTTGGCTCCTAAATTCTACAAAGTGGTAGCCAATTCAAAAAAGTTGGTCGCCATTTTCAAAGACAAACAAAATCTTTCTTTAAGCTGTCAGCGTTCTAGATAGACCCTCCAAAATTACGTTAGGGAAAAGATTCTTTAACGTTGCAAAGTGGACACTAGGATGGATGATATACAACGTTCAGGCTCATCATCAAGATGGCGTCTAGTTATCGATCGAATGCACACGTTTTAACGAGGAAAGCTGATTTATTTTTTGAAACTTTTCAATTCACTATATCTCTTTAAGGTTATGTTGAAAATCAATTTGGCGACTAACATAGGATTTGGTCGCCTTGAAAAACTGATTGTCTGCAATTTCACGCCCTGTAATACCCCATTCACATCAAAGCCAAAACACGTTTTAAAGCTGTTTTGTGAAACAGTTTCAAATTGTTTCCTACATAGAAGTTGTTTAAACTGATGTCTGTCAACTTCAAATTAAGAAACGAAAGTAAAAGTTAGTGATGAATTGACCCCTACGTAAAAGTTAGTTTTTAAATTTTTTTATGGCTGATTTTTCTTCAGCCAAATCTCTTTTAACTAAATATGTTTTGCTGGTGTAAATCGGGGAGTAACTTACCATAATTTTGATTACAGTTTGGATATCTAATCTGTTTGGAAGTTTTCTTTGATGCTATTTATCCGTCAACAGTTCACGGACGTTGTTTTTCATAGATGTATTGCAACTAAGACTGTTTTTTATGTCATTTTTCGAGCCTACCTTTGACCCTACTTCCACCAACAGTTTAAGAAGGGAACTTGAGCAGGAAATTTTATGGACCACTTTGCGCACATTCCTTTGATAATTCATTTCTTCCACACCGTCTTGTGAAACCACCAGCGGCGGGCGAGGGGAGGGTGGGAGCAATTGCTGTCTTACATACGTCAACAAAGCGCTATCCTCGTCTAGTTTAAATGCCCTGAGAATCACAAAGAACACAGGAGCTATAAGCATGGAACCACTAATGCATTCTTCGTGACTTATACGGAAATGTAAGGTACGGAAAATTTCAAAATTAAATTGATTGTAGCATAATTATGCATTTCATTGTAAAGGAAACGAAATCGACAGCAGTACCTGCAAAACTCCAAAATCATCTCAAGGCTAATCTGTTGTTTTTGCATCAGGTCTGGTAAAATAGCTAACTTCTCTTCCCGGTCGGTTTTATACACGTCCTTCAACGACATCTGCAAATAATTGAAATCGCCCGTTAAATCCATTATGCATTCCAAGATGTGTTTAGTTGTGGTTCGATATGGATTGACACTGTTCTGCAAAATTAGTTAACACAGAATCGTTTGGTGACCAAATCCTTTGATCTGAGAATTCGTTGATAAATGTTCCCTCAACGCAAACAATGTTCAATTATTTTGTTTGATGATATGGTTCGGTATAGATTGACACTATGTTCAGCAAAATTACTCGACAAAGAATCATTCGATGACCAGTCTTTTGATTTGAGAATCCCTTGATAAATGTTTCCATAACAAAACAATGTTCAATTATTCTTGAGTTGATAAATAAAACTCAAAACTGCATGGGGGGGAGGGGGGGCTGTGGGAAAAAAGGAACTTTTAAAATATGGTTAACAGACGAAAAACATTAGTCACGTTCACAAGAAGCATCCATGAGGGGCAGCATAGTAGAGAGGTCAGCGTGTCAGATACGCGCTGCGGAGGTACATGCACACTCCTATCTGATCCTAACTTTGAATTTGGACCCTCCAACAAGTTGCTAAAACAAGGTTCATATAATTTAAGACGAGATGCATTCTTCCAGTAAAGGAAAAAGGCAAACCGTTACCTTAAGTCGTCCAAGTTTTATTCCCCATGTGGCATTGGTAAATATTTCCTGACACTTTTGCAGAACAGCAGGCTCATTACACAGCTGAGCATAGTCCATGCCAACCTTTGAAAAAGCCTACAAGAAGAAGCGGAGTTCTAACAATCAAATCGGTCAGCAATCCTTCCATTTTTCAAACTCACGCTTAAAGCGAACAAAAAAACAGAAAAACAAAACAAATTTAAAAGAAAATCGATGCGATAATGGCTACAATAACTAATGATAAATAAATAATTTCCATCTAAGTTTCTAATAGCTTCTTACCAGAATTTTAGTACAGCTCTGACCAAGGAAATTTGTCCCAGATACCAAGATCTGAAAGGCAGTCTGTTTTGGTATGGAACACAGGTAACCTAGACCCACGTCATGGTCAACTGATCGATAATTGAATACCTACATGACAAAAAAAAAGTTTTTTGAGTCGCCGCTTGCAGAAACGAGAGCTTATCAAGTGTTTGTCATCTCTTTCTCCATTTTTTAAAATGCCATTCAGGTTTTGTTTAACGGGCAGCAAAAAGTTCGAAAACCTCACCAGTGAGTGTGAGAGTGAAGACAGTTTGTGGATTGAGCCTTGAGAGGTTTACTTCGGGCAGGATTAAGAATTACTAAGACACCACGACGGTACTAATAGTCAATGTAATTCTTACTTCGCCGAAAAAGACGTAATATATTTTGAAGTAGCCCTTTCGATTACCAATGCATGTTACAACGTAACAAAGCTTGGGTTTTTCCTATCAATTTGACAACGCATACCTTCCTCAAAAGGTTTCCAGAAAGCTCTTGCATCATTTTAATGCTCATAGTAGCAATCTTCGCCAGCCTCTGTTTCTCAATTTCGCCGCTCTTTTGATCCTCCTGAAAGACGAAAAGATTGTCATGTACTTGGTGAATTCAGGCTCGAGGACTATCACTATCTGTCATGAATGGATTGCAGGTCAAGATATGCCACCAATTATTGTCTCACCTTGTCGTTACTAAGCATACTGTTTACCGCAAAATGTTGCAGACAGACACCAAGCGTCTAAAAAAGACAATTAGAAATGCATTAGAAAGATGAGCGTGTGCTGACAGACTGAAAATTTTGTAGGGCTTATTGCTTATTTGCACTACTGCAAATGACCAATATTCCCAACTAAAGTCATTTTAATCCGGTCTTGGCACCGCCGGGGTTAACTAAACAACTATTTCAACCATTTTTCAAATGATCCTCACCTGAAGTAAATACTGTAAAGCCAACTCGCACAGACTGTTATCCTGAAGGTGTCTGATTATGTCAAGTCCAGCACTACTAGTCAGCATCAAATACGAAGACTGTTTATCCACTTCACCACTTTCAGTTGCCTTTGATTCTGATCAAAAGCACAAAATCATCCCTTGAGTTGAGAGCTTACGATACGTAACTCGACAAGATATTTAATAAGCAACGTCAAGATTACTGCGTCGTGAAATGCTAAGCATTTTAATAATAAAAACAATAATGGAGAATTTCGGTGTCTCCAGGTGATAAGGTTGACTGGTTACGTATAGCCTCAATAAGCATAAGCATCCGCTGAAATTTGGCTGGTTTCAAAAGCTGTGATTGGTGGATTTCAGTCCTAGCTGTTCTAGGCGTGCTGCAGTCGAAACGACTTGCAAGAAACTGAAATGGGTCTATCGACTTACAGCATAACTTTACCTTGACACTTTTGTCTTCTACCAGCTACTCGTGCTTGATAAAATGGTCTTTGTCCGGCTGAGTTGTAATTGGCTGTTGGTGACGTAAATAGGAGTCCTCGTTTATCAGGTGGACATTTTTGTACACAAGGTAGGTAAGAGTTTCATGGCATGATCTTGTCGTGTCATGTCAAAATTCTTTCAACAAACCATATTGGTATGAAATAACAATCATATCTGCGTCTCATGCGGACATGAAAGGTTGTCCATGAGATCATAAAATAAACATTACTCACATAGACCAGGCCTCTAATAACTCGAAAATCTTTTGGTTTCCCTAACAGCTCACTGGTATTAACAGTTTATATATTCTTTGGAGCAGTGCTTTCTCCGGTCTTTAACACGAGAAAAAAAAAGGAGACTTAATCCGGCCGCTAAACTTTAGGGCGCTTTGATAAATAAGATATTAGCTTTTTCTAATGAGGAGGCTGTACAGACCGTTTTTAGGCCAGAGATGTTCCCAGATCTCTTGATTGTCACGTGACTGAAACTACAGGCAATGTACCCCTGCAAGAACATTTTTCGAATTTCTCAGTCGTTACCTGGAACTGCAGCTATGCTAAGCTTTGCAGCTAAGGGCAAAGCAACAAAAGAATCCAGCACTAGACAGTCTTCCCTGAACCTTTTACCAAATGTCCATTCCATAAAGGGATCCTGACTTGAGCTGAAAAAGTAAAGAAAGAAAAAGGAGGACAGATTAGCATGGAATTTGACTAAATATGAACACGTAAAGTTTGTGCATCTTAAACCTTTTCACCCCGATATCAGTATGTCCAGTGCATTTTCAACAAAAATGAGCGGACGATTTGATTTAAAAAGAACAAAGAACTTTTTTTTAAGATGGCGCTCATTTATTTTTTTTCAGCAAATATACAATAAAGAGAAATTAGATGTCAGTCACCGGTGGTGACCATTCATACCCTTGTATCTCTTTGCATGATGACAATAGTGATAAAGGTGTGGAAAATGTTGATTTATTTAGTAGACGAATTCAAGACAATCAATGAAAGTTGGAATCCAATGTCCAAAGTAGCCAAGTAAACGGTACAGACATACCACTAAAGCAAATGTAAGACTAAATTTTTCTCTGCGTGATGACACCACAAAGTCATTCTTCTACAGAAGCAAGACCTCGATGTCCTTCCATCATTATTTAACTGTGTTTAAGCAATCAGTGGTTAGCCTTGGGAACGTAAATTGGCCACTGTAAAGAGTTTCAAAGCTAACGTTCGAGCGTTAACCCTTCGTCAGAGCGAATGACCAAGGGCTAACGCTCGAAACGTCAGCGTCAACTCTCCCACAGAAGTAGCACCACAGTTTCTTTAAATATTTACCCCCTTTATTCGGTTAGCCTTGCGAACCTTGTGGTGCACCACGGTTTCTATCACTCAGAACGACTAGGAGTATCGCTAAAGCCTCTGAATGGGATGCTACACCCCAACCAGACAGCCATTCGTCAAATTTCCCTAACAGTAACCAGTTCCCATTTACGCTTCTGAGTGGAATTTGCACTGTGATAAGAGTGTGCCTTGACAAAGAACACAACACAAACGACCCAGCCAGTTTTCGCGCCCAGAACAGCACCCATTGGAGAATTGCTTCTCCGCGGGCTCATAATGTCTTGGGATAATAGACAAAACTTGCGTGAAAAATGTAATACCAAAAGATGCCCACCTTTGTGGAGTTGTTTGGACGGAAAATCCGTAATCACCACTCTCACACTGCGAGTACACAGAGTCTGTCAGACGGCAATACTTGCACAGCTCAGTGCAGTCACATAGCAAATCTAGGCAATGAGAAAAACACGCCATAAAAGAAATCAAATACAAGATAAGGTTATAAACAACAACTGTATGTACAAAGTAACTGTCAGCTTTGAACAAATTCAAGGAAGATCGTGTCAGTTGCAAGAGCAGTTTCTTTAATTTAACTGTCAACCATACAGTTTCCCATCAAGTCGTAAAATCTAGTGACCAGTTTTTAAATGCTGCTCCGCAAAAGTTGCAACTATTAGCAGATAAAGAGGTATATGCGTTTCGCCACGGGTGTGGGACAAAGGAAAAATATTAGAAACCCCCCAGAGATTGCACCTTACAGCAACGAATCTGAAGATTTGAGGTTTGAATACTTAAAGCAGACTCATTTTTTCTGTGCCTTACACTCGCGACGAAACGAATATAAACATTTTACACTGATAAGACGACCAAGCAAGATCTTATAAATCTTCTTCATCTACATAAACAAAAGAAAAGGACGGTTTGCTTTCTTTGTCCAATCAGGACTACTAACCTGCTGAACAGTGAGTCGATGCTTGACACAAGAGCTGATGTATCGTATGAGTCAGGTGATACATGTTCTCGTTCTTATCCGTAGCTACGGAGTGTCCTTCAGCAAGCGTCTCACAAAGATTGAGAACGACTTTGTACAAGGTCAAGGCAGTTCTTGCACATGGAGCTCTTTCAATCAACTCCCTAAAACAATTCCAATGACCAAAAGCAATGTTGAAATTTCCCGCCATCTCCGAAAAAAAAAGGGTTAATTGTGTGAAAAATGTCTAGGGACGCTCATCATAAGTCTGGTGCATGGATATAAACAAAACAATGACTTTGCGTCGTTAGGAATGGCATGGCGGATCTACAATGATTAATTATCCTAAAGATCTTACAAGTCGTACTTTATGTGAAAACCCAGTAATCTTTAAAACCGTTTTTTCGTTCAGAACCGTAAGAGGGAAAAATACTGTTGTACTACTGACCATGGATAACGCAAAATAAGAAACTTGTTATGAGAGGAATGCAGTTTACAATCGTTACATACGACAAAGACAGCAATATAGCAAAACAGATCGCTTAATTTTCAGGAAAAGTTTTTGACAAAGTACAGAAGCCCACTAGGAAGAGATGAAAGCGACTATGATGGATTAGCTATTGCTTGTTGAGAAAGCAGCTTGTTGACAATTGTGGATAACAAGCACGGGACACAGAATACCAAGCAATGGAATGTTCTTTCTTTTTCAAAACCAGAAGAAGTTCACAGGACGATAGCATACCTGCACATATCTAAAGCATACGATATATTCCCTGCAGAGATTGCTTTGGACATCAACGTCAGTCTTATTTCTTCCTTTAACATTCCCACTAATTCCCCTAACCTTCAAAAGACATGAGATATAAACTACATTAGAGCAAATACCGTACATGCTAACGTATCTTCACTTAACGCTACTATTTGAACAGCCTATGGTTAATCGGACAATAAAAAAAATTCTAAGCAGAATTATTGCATCATTGGATCTAATTCCTGCTTCACGTGTTTGATGCTTTTGCTATAAAAAGTATTGTCTAAAGCGTAACAGACTGAAGAAAATCTCAACTCTGGCTGTATTGATGTTATAAGTTCGTGAATAGATTCTAACCATTTCGTTACGCCATTTTGATGCATAAATATTAGTAGGTAATGACCTGGTTAGTTATGATCAACATAAGATCACTGTATCTCAGCATCTAACACAGATCTAAAAGGTAAGGTTACAAAAGACGACATCTAAAGGTAATGCCTTGTAATGCACTTTCTTAACGAGAAGCAGTTAACGAACGATGAATCCTAATAAGTAAGAGATAGTTGGACATTTCTTTCTAAATAATATCCTAGATACATAGGGAGTAATGGCGAAGATACAGGTTCTGTACTTTTGAAAAAGCCCAAAGTAGCTCATGCCCTGACGTGGCGTTTCACTTCCGAAAAGAGGCTCTCCAACTAATACTAACCTGAATAGTTTAGTCAATGTCACTTGTTCTACACCAGAGCATACCTCGCTGCTAATCTTTTGCGAATCATGCTATGAAAAAACAAACAGAGAGATAAAGATACATAGGGAGTAATGGCGAAGATACAGGTTCTGTACTTTTGAAAAAGCCCAAAGTAGCTCATGCCCTGACGTGGCGTTTCACTTCCGAAAAGAGGCTCTCCACCAGTAAAGCTCTGTAGTCATGATAATTATCTAATATCCTTTGATTTCTTTGTACATTCGTGAGCAGTTTTCTTCAATACACCGACAAACAGGAGTCGGTCATTACCTTTTCATCAACATCACTGTCCTTCTTTTCACGAGAATCTAAATACAGTTGAAGATATTGTTCAAATAATCCATGCCGAACGTCGGGAACCTGATACTCCTCGACAGACAGGAATACAGAGAATTCTCTCTGAAACGCAAACAAAAAAAAGTAGAAAAAAAAAAAAAGAAAAAATAAGTTTAAACAAAAAAAGAAGGAAAAAAAAAAAAAAAAAGGTCAGTTTCGTCTCCAGTACCATGGAAGATGCAGTGGCCTAACAGTTGATTAACTCCCAAGATCTCATTGTCAATTCTCCCCTCTCGCTGCTAGATATTTCCTTGTAAATAGTTACGAGAATTTAATGTCAGATCAAGATAACTTCTACCTGATAAGTTTGAATATTCTCATGACCTGTTTGCTGGATAATGTTTTGATATTACAGGGAGAAGTTATATGTTAATCACTTTTGGGAGTTAAGGAGTTAAGCAAACTGGTCCATGTTCTAGCCCTGGCTGGGATCATCCTATTCTGGGGAAGGGGAGGGGGAGTAACCATTTTGCTATTGAAACCTGAATAAGTTTTAGTGGTGTCGACCACTTGGCTTGTGAGCAATCTACAGCAAAAGGGCTACTCCCCCTGCCCTCCCCCAAAATAGTCTGATATGGATACAGTTAGATTCCAAATTAGATGAACCTCACCTGAAGTGCAGAAATCATTTGCAGTGTAGAAAGAGATTCATCTACGTCGACAATCGATGAAAGGTCTTTGAATCAAAAGCGAAGACACAAAAAAAGATCAGAAACAAACCATGAACTATCTCTAAACAATCATATGCATAAAGTAATTATGGAGCAGAAAACAGATAAAAGAGGTAGTAAAAAAGAAAGAGGTTAGACTCACTATGCTTCTTCATGAACTTCAAGATTGCAACCCCTGCTTGAGAAGCCACAATCTTCTCTGAAGAGAATTCCTGGATGTTTGAAAGAACAAATGGTATCCATTTAGAAGCGTAAAAAGTTTAAAAAATTATTTTCAAAAGGCTATTCTTCCTCAACATCAGCAACAGCAACAAAAAAAGACTAATAACCTTCGTATCGCTGAAGTTATTTTCAAGAATTCCACTGAGCCAAGTCACCAGTTCATGCGCATACTGTTCTGCTTGCGGTAATGGAACTGACTCTAACAACTCCAAACAGGCTGGAATCTAAAACGTCATGTATTAGCGAGTCTCATTTTCAGAATGGGACGGTAACGTTAGCCAATCAGTTAACAAGATTTTTTCATCTCACCCACCCCCGAATTAAAGGAAAGAAAAAAAGAATTGTGCACCTTGTCCTCACGACACAATTTCTGAAGTCGAAAAACGTAGGCTTCGTCTTCTGTAACATGACTATATGATGTTACCACCTACAATAAGAAAAAACAAACTCAAACATGTACTAGAAATAAATGAAATAAAGTAATAGGTATGGTTAATCTTGGATCCTGGTGGTTGTAGAATATACAAGAAGTAAACTTGGAAACTCACTGGAAAACGTATCAGTGGGTAATACCAGTTTTAAAAGGATGGCTTCAAACTGATCGTTCTTAGAAATGGTTTCTCAGTTATCGTGAAAATAAACGAGCCCTACATGTATTTCAGGTGGTTGTTCTGCACGTAGATAGTTTTGTTTTAAACTGCCACTTGAGAGATCGCTTAACTTTGTAACTTTGCATTGACTGGGTTAAGAAACATTAAAGTAGCAAATGGCTCATTAAAATCGATACATTATGAAAGTAAAACAGCTATGCATTTGTTTCGAGTTACCTTCAAGGCGTCTTCCATTACATTTGGTTGGTCTCTGGTCAAAATATATCTTGTTATTGCCTGGAATTAAATATTTAACGCGGTTTTATTTTCAAGCAGATCTGATTTCACGCTTTGTATCATACAACTATTCACAGACATTGACACTTGATCCAAGATCTAATTGAGGCAAAAACATATGTGCGAGTAAACAGCATTTATCAATATCAAAATCAGTTGATATTTATGACAACAATTTACGTTATGATTTTTGCATCATCAACATCATCAAAATTATTGAGGAAATTTGCCAAACTATTTTTAATCCGTAACAGCTTGTTCCTTCTTCCTCGCTGTTCATAGTTTCTTTAGTATTTTTCTAACCTATCGAGTTTATAATTTGTGATTTCTTCGTTCGACGGTAGATGCTTCCAGCGCAAAAATTAATGATCGAGAAGTTCATTTCTCCTCGATCATCTTAAAAAAATTCGATTTTTTCAAACTAGGAAAATTGGGCGTGTTCTTGGAATAAGTTTGTGCTAAGTGTTGTATTTCATCCATAAAGAATAGTTAGGTTTTTCAGTGTCAAATTGCAAAACTCGTTTTAACAACATTTCAAACATCAAGTGCACTTAATAAGGACATTGTAACAAGGGGTTCGATCTAAGAAAAGTTGAGGACTTAAAAAGGTACACAAGGACACTTATGAATTGACTATTAATTTCCTTCGGATATATTTTAAAACGTATTTATCCTCCCTTACCTTCGCTCGTGCAGCGTAAGATACATGAAAGCTTCTTATTCGATATTGAGAAAGCATCTTTTTAAGCTCAACAAGTCTAAACTGCTCCTTGAGGTTCATATCACTGTGAAGATAATGATTGAGTGATAAAAGAAACAAAGAAATCAGATGAATGCAACAGTAATACCTACAAAGTGCATCACCTGAAATTTAAGTAAAATTTAGCGAGTTAACGTACTTGGGGACCAAAGATCACGTAATTCCAAACTAAAACTTTCGGCAGTTTATTTTAACATTTGAAGCTATAAACTAAGTTGATATATTCACTCTATGTAATCCTTTGAAATAAAGCACGACCAGAATCAAAGTTCTTCAAAATTCAGCGAATTTAGGAAATACGGAAGCCAGCTGAAGTAGAATTAACTAATATTTTCTTGCACTGCATGAGGCAGAGTAGATACAAATAAGGAACACTTAACATCTGAACACAGACCTTTCGTTAAAAAAAAGACCATCAGCAGTATGGGGCCCCTAATAGGATAACTGACCAATAAGCGCGCAGAAAATGTTACACGCGACCTGCATTAGTTGCTCTCAACAAACAGATTACAGGACTTGAATTAGTGATGGAAATTGATTGGTGGACTTGAATTTTGTGACGCCATCGAGTCTGTTTGGTCGAATACAATTGTAGTAGCTCACATAAGGAAAACTTTCGGCAGAAGAATAAAAAGGCAATCGGTAAAATACACATGCAATGGAGTTTGTGTTCATTCATAACGTGGCAGCGTACGTAGTTCGTCAAATTCGCACGTAATTTGTCATCCGCATGAATTTTCTCCATCTTCAAGCATCCTTTGTTTCTATTCGGTTCATTCCTGTTATATCTCCTCTTTGTACATATTTTTTACTTTCCATTAACTAAACAAAGTAACATATGATGGAGAGACTTCACTAAAAAGTAACAGTGTTTTTATGTGAACTTACTTTGGATAGGCTGCCATGAATTCAGCGACCAGCTTTTCGACACTTTCGCTCCAAGGTATCATAGCATGTCGCATGACTTCGAGAGTTGCTTTGCAACGGACCTGGAAATAGAATGATAAAAGCAACAAAACAGTATGCAAACTGATTTCCATGCGCTTCCCGTTCAAATCGCCCTTCCCATCAAAATTATCAACTCAAGGAAAGCAATGATGTTCGGAGGTGAACTGCAATTTAAGCAATTGCAAAAAAGAAGTCTGGGCAAAAAAATTAAGGCTTCGACGGGAATCGAACCCATGCCTCCCAGATACTAGTTGAGCTCTCTTACCAACTGAGCTGCGAAGCCACACGTTGGGAGAGGAGCACAATTTAGTGGTTTCTTTAAACTATCACAAGGAAGATTCGGACAAAAGAATATACATGTCGTAAACAAGTTACATGTCATAAATGGTTGTCACCTCTTTTTCTTTGATGCAAGAAATGATTGCAATAACTCTGGCCTCCCACAGTGAGTTAGACAATGACGAGTAGGATCCATCACTTCTGTTGAACAAATCCTTCGACAGAAACGTAAAGTGTCATGACGAAATCATTCTTCCAAATTGAAACAAAAAAAGTCCAATTTCCATGTAAGTGTTGGAAATATCATACAAACTGAAATCCCGAAATTAGAAATTTAAAGACTAATAGGAACTGATTTTGATATTTATAAAATGAATGGGCAACTATAAAGTATTGAGATGAAACTGCAAGTAGACCGGAAATAAAAAGACGACAGAGGTTACCTAAGCCTAAAAAAAAAATAAACCAAACAAAGGAACAGATTAAAAGAGCAACACCAACATCAACCAAAGTTAGAGACATCAAATCGAAATATGTTGGTAAGGCTCCCTTCTGCAGAAGTAATATACTATAGTTTACTTACCTCTATGTATCGTAGAAGCATAGTGTCCCTATCAAGGCTGTGATGAACCATGTACGGTGCTATGTATTTGGCGATTGCACTCGGAATGAGTTCAGCAGCCACCACACGGTCCAGCAGGCGAAACACTATTGTTGCTATGGTTTCCTGTGAAACAACAAAAGTGTTACGTACAATCTACTCTTTCTAACGTGGACCTTTCAGGAAAAAAAAGTTTGACTTGTCTTGTGTTAGAACAATGACTGGAAATAAAGGAAAAGCGCGTTCACTGTATTTTGGCCCTAAGTCAGTAAATCGAATGCTACTTTCAACAGAGAAGAAACGTCTTCTGGAGACGGGCAAGACTTCTCCACCTAGTTTCAAAGAGTTACTCCAGATTTTGGGTAGATTCGTCCAAGTTTGGACAGTTCTATCCGATTTCTGACCCCTCTGTCCGTTTTTGTGCACATCCGTCGGATTTCGGACACTTTCGTTCGATTTTGAACGTTTTCGTCCCATTTCGGATACTATTGTCCGATTTCAGATGGCTATCATCCGATTTTGGATATTTGCTTCCGTTTTCGGACATTCTCATCCGTTTTCAAACACTTTTAGACAGATGTTGCGAGATCATCCGATCGCATGCTTCCGTCCAATTCAGGACGAATCTGTCCGATGATTTCCGACTCATTTGCTGGAGCCTTTAAAATTAGCCCTTTTTAAAGGATATTTAGAGTTTACTTGTGTTCGGAGACGCTAAAAACTCTTTATTTGTTTATTTTCCTTTATTTCAAGAGAATTTCCAAAAGTATACAAAATCCGACACTCTGCGCACCTTTCACTTTAACTTTGGACCAGAGCAAAGCGACCATTAAAAAAATACCTGAGAAAATTCTGCCAGCGTTATTTTACAAGAATACTTGGTGTGAAGATCTACAAGCTCAGTCAACTGCTGAACCAACTTCATTAAGCTGGCTAATTCATCGTCAACATCCTGATAGGAAAAAAAGTCACAGATTACATGTCACAACCGCAGGAGCAATGCAATACACAACCTACCACTTTGAGCAATATTGAGGTAAATGTACCACTAATTACTTTTAAATACTACTACTACTAATAAAAATTTTTGACTTAATATTTAATTGTTCCTCGTCAATAGAGACTCACATTTTACCGTCAATCAACCTGACAAAGCAAACAATGGAAACTTTACTGAGGAACTGGACAAACAATGAAGGGTATATTTCATCAATCATTTCCATAGTTGTACTCTCATCATTAATAATTTAATATTCAATTGGATGCGTAAGTATTAATCAGCTCAAAGGTTAAAGAGGTCGAAAGCTCTTAGCTTGCAGCAAGGCAGATTTTAACAGCCACAAAACCATGTGCCTATTAAAAGCCAATAAACACAACGACGTGAAAAGCAACTGATAACTTTGTGAAGTTTTATAAACTATACGCTTTTAAATCGCTCAGTCAGAGTTAGTTTGGAGACTCAGGCACGTACCAAGTTATTTTTGCTATCCTTTAATAGTGCTCTTGCTGTTGCAGGAAGACCACAAACCTACAAACACAATATCTACTCAGCACTGAAAAAAATCTGATTTTCAAAAGTTACTCAGGATACAGAAAGTACAAGACTTCATCTTCGGACTGTCTACATCATTAGAAGACTTGACAGAACCAGGAGAGAGGCAAAGATGGCGTGTCAGTCCTACTCAATAGAGAGCAAACTCCGCTTCCTTCATATGCTGGTCAGGTATTCAACCACTAAACCATAGTATGAATGATGTGGTCAGATATTCATGTCATGTAACAGACTGGTATCAGTAGTTAACATGATACAAAAAACAATACACATATCTCTCTTCGAAGAATAAAATACCTGGTCTGAAAACTGAGCGGGAGTGGCAAGACCTCTTCCTGAAGCACTCCCTGAAACGGACTTTGATGCACACAACAGGACACTTGCAAGTTGCAAAGCATTTTGAGGCCAACCCTCCTGAAATAAAACAATTTCATCGGCTTAATCACTCGAACAAAGTATTTTCTAAAGAGAACCATACTGAGCAAAAATTTCTTCTGGCACTATCCAAGCGCTTATTTCTAACCTTCTCAGAAAGCTCCATATTTTTGGCTCTTTGCTCCAACCAACTCGCGAGCATCCGCTGAGAACAGAGAAAAACATCAGTATGAGAAAGTAACACAGGTTACCTCTTCTCCCCCCCCACCAAAAGCTGGAGCTTATCTCGGTTTCCTTAGCATGAAGTGACTAGGAGTATTACTTCTCTCCCCCCTTGATGGGATGCCAGTCCATCGCAAGGTTACCCCCCCTCCCCCCCAAGTGTTTCGTCAGGCTTCCCGCCAATTTGACGATAGAGGCATTGTGGGGGTGAAGTGTTTAGCCCAGGAACACAAGACAATGACCCGGCCAGGTCTCGAACCCAGACCTCTTGACCCAGACTCCGGCACACTGACCATGAAGCCAATGAATCTTCCATACAACAATAAATAACATGACTGTAAATATACGAAAATCATATATGTGAAGCGCGGTTAAAGAAATGAATATGGAAGTGATCTTCGCCGTTATGAACACTACTTAGGCGGTGGTTAAAATAAGGCGGAAAAAAATTCAGGCATGTAAGGGCCTGAATTTTTCAGTAGTGTTCAGAAATGCGAAGATCGTCTCTATATTCACTTCTTTAACCGCAATTCACATATATGATTTTCATTTCATTTATGGTCATTTATTCACCACTTCACGGGTTTATTTACGACCAACATGATGACCAGCTCTTGGTTGGCTGGTTAGCTCAGTTGGTAGAGCACTTCACCGGTATCGCAAAGGTCATAGGTTCAAATCCCGTACACGCCTGAATTTGATTCAGGCCTTAGTTTCATTGCTGCTTAAGTAGTGTTCCTAACTGCGAAGATCGCTTCCATATTAAAGAAATAACATGTAGACTGAATTGAGTGATAAGTTCTTTGTCGTGTGTTTTAACTTACCAGACCCGAGGGAAAGGCCTTACTGATAAAAGGCACAAGGTCATCTTGTAGCCACGGAATAACAATGGAAGAGTGTAAGTCTTCGGGCATTGAACCAATTAAAGACTCCAATTTTTCCATACTAAACTGAGTGACAAAATGACTCTGCAAAAGAAGTAATGGAATAAATAGTGCCGTTTCCACAAAAATTTGCCACAATAAAGTGGGTGTTGTATTGAACTGAACGCTCTTATTATCATTTCTTCGTATTGTTTTATCCTTGGTGTTCACTTAGAAGTACAGTTGCACCTTTATTTAGCGGCGCCGTATTAAGCGGTCACTCTCTATAAAGCGGTCTGTTTTCAAAGTCCAGAAATTGTTAACCCTCAATTACTGTAATTTCCCCTCTGTTAAGCGATCACGAATGCCGTTTACTGAGCCTCATCAGGAACTTAGCATGGAATAGCTTATCCTGTGTTTCTCTATTTCAGAATACCGATTCAAATAAAATCTCACACCAAATTCAGTCATATGTTATGAATCATTTGCCTACACTGCTTTGTGACTTTGAGACACTTCAAGATCACTTTACCTGATGTCTTCTCCAAATGATAACTGCACTGGTGACTTTGCTAGAAAGCAGGCATTTTGTCAGCTCAACGAGGAGGTCAACAGAGGCAAAGTACTGCCACTGGGGGCCACTGTGAGACAACGTAAAAAAAGATGTTAGTTCTGCAATGAAGAACAAATAGTTAGAAATACTCGGTGCGTAGCCAGGCTTAATAAAAGGTTTTGGTAAAAAGAATAAAAAAGTTGACACTGACTAAAAACATATATTGTTCTGGACGTTTCGGCTACTGCTGTTGCCTTCTTCAGCAAAGATAAAAATGCAAATGTCTAACGGCGTCCTACTTGGTGTATGTCCACGATGTGTGATAAAACTAAATCTCGAAGGAATTTTTTAAGTTTAACAATAGTCTCTAAAGTATTTTTAATGGCTCTAAAAATTCTCAATGTTGTTGTATATGTTTGGTAGCATTATGTGTTCGTTTATAGCGTTTCCATCTCGCTAAGCTTAAAGAATTAGTCTTTGTCGTCACGCCGATGACCTGTCAACAAGTCGACAATTTCAACGCTCTCCAAATCTGTTTGGTGACTGTGAAGCATATGGTGTTTGGCCAACAAAGAGTTTTCATCCAATGTTGCTATGGCCTTTGCGTGATCTTTCATGCGTGTTTTTAGTGCCCGGATGTTTGACCAACTTAAACACAATCACAATCTTTACAGTTGATCTTGTACACGATTCCTCTGGAAGCCTCTTCCTCGATCTTCTCTTTGGGCTTATGAAGTATGCTCGAGATGGAGCGGATAGGCTTAGGGGCGACCTTGATGTTGAAACTTCGAATAAATTTTGTGACTCTCTCGGAAAATAGGGCTTGGTTATCCTGTGAAAATCTCTAACAGCATACTTAATCAACTGGGTTCACAGATTGAAAGATAACAAGTGGGTAATGATGTAATTTTCCCTTGCAAATTGGTCGCAACATGATCTCTTACTGATGAATGGTTTAAATGGAATAGATTCAGGCTTGTCTTTACAGTTGCTGCACAATAATGAGCAAGTTGCTCTGAAAAAATATAAATATATTCTAGTCCTGATGAACTAAGAAAACGAAAGACAAGAAAATTGAGAGAAAATCAAACACACCTAAAATTTTCAACTCCAAATGCCATCTCAAAAGTTGCTAGTCTATCCAATGCCTCAAGGACCTACCAAAATGAATATTACCACATAGTATTCACTTTTGTCATAGTGAGGAAACATACAATTCTTAAGTATCTTGTAAAGCTAATTCAGCTATCAGATATCATGGCACTGGATGTCTTGTAGTATCAGCACGATACTGACACAAACTTCACCTCAGTCAAGAGACGTGATGGTTTTCCACATGGACCTTCTTTTTGGCTATGCACCCCACTGTTGCTGGAAATCTGAGGAGGGAAAGAAACAGGATGAAAAAGACAACAACTAACAAGTACAACTCTTGGATACCTGCTAAAAAAGGAAGACTTAGCAGAAGAAATTTCATTGAGTGTGAGATACCAGATGAAGTTTACTCATTGTGGTTACACAAAATGATGATAGCTGGCTGGTTAAGAAAATCTAAAGTAGTATCCCATGCAACACTTGTGGTTCAATAATTATAGCACTTGACAAGTAAGTAATAGCAAATAAGGAAGGCACCACTAGCAAATGGTGGTGGGCTTTGGTAAAGATGGCAGGGTCTCTGGAGTAACAAGCTATCACCATTTAAACACCATGGAAAAAAAGAAGTCAGAATGTCCATCCTACCAGAGATTTTGCTGATCACCTCCCCACACGCCCCTGGATAGGATGCCAGTCCATCACATGGTAACCCACAAACAATCCAGCAAGATTCCTTGACATTTTGCTGGCACCCATTTATACTCCAAAAGGGGGAAAACAAATCCTGGTAGGAATCAACTCCCCACTTATCTACTTATTCTTCCTGTGTCACCAACATGTAAGAAAATTTGAATGGTACATGGCACATGAAGGTAGCTCACCCGTTTTCTAGCATAGCTCAGCAGATCAAATGTCTCATCAAGTGTGGGAAGTGACGCTTGCAAACAACACCTGCAGACATATTCATCATCCTGAAATTAACAGAAAATGGAGTGCATGAGAGGTTTTTCTAGTTTGAGTCAAGATATTCTAAGGGATGACAGAAGGTAGAAGCTTCACGAACAGGCAGAGAGTAGACTTGCATTGCAGCACACAAAGGTACATGCTATGTAATTGTTATTACCTTTATTTGAGTGAGGCAATCCTTAAGTTTTGTGAGAGAAAATCCCTCCAAAGCATTGCTTTCTTGCCCATGATCATTTTCATAATTCCATGGTGACACTTTGTCAAGAAGCCAGTTAGCCTTAACTTTGTACACAAGCTAAGGAAACAAACAAATAAAATTACTGACTTTTTTCAAGCTAATATGGTTTGTCCTTCTCTTGATGCAAACCACAACAAATACGTTACCATCCTTGATATAAAATCTCACCTCTATATCCAGATTAAACTGCTTTGCAAACCGCAATGCTTCATCAAACTTTTGCTTGTGAAGCAGTCTGGACAATCTATTGAGAACAAGGAAACTTTCTATACAACTAAGTTCTCTTATTGGTCCCTCTTGCAAACAGAAAGCATTCCTCACAGCACGTTAAAAAAAACCCTGTTAGTCTTTTTTAAAGAAAAATATTAAGCACATTTTCTGTCCACAGAGTATTTAAGTGCTGAAAATAATGTTTCCTTCCTCTCTCTAAGGCAGATCACCTTTGTTTCTTATACGTGGATACAATTTAGCCTCAATTAGTTGCACTCACTGAATTAAACTGAACCACGTTTTTATGCAAGATGATCACTCAATGAGAAACTTATACAAGATTACGCATTACCTGTTTTCAGGAAGAGCTTCCGTAAGAGATCTGATTCTTATGCTAGAAATGTGTCTGTCATCATTTGTTCTGAAATGGGAAAACAACTATGTCACTCAGTCACATTACTGGTGATTCTTCACATTTGAAAAACGTCTATTGAAAAACTCAGCATAAACACTAGTGTTAAGAAGAAAGTACCGGACTAGCGTGTCGTGCAATTAGCGCGCGCGCGCGCTGAGATATTTAACGTTCATCAGTCGTATGCAAGTTACGCTTACGATTTCTCGCGTGTGTGTTGTCGTAGTTTTAGTCGCAGTTTTTAGTCGCAGATTTAGTCGCAGTTGTAGTCGCAGTTTTAGTGGCATCTGGGAGATTTTTGTTATCGCTTGTGTTTTCCAGTTTAGTCGCATTTAGGAGATTTTCAACTAGTTTTTCACCAACCGGTATTTAAACATGAAGCTACATGACTTCGATAATCAAAAGCCCCTTTCAAAACAGATTACCTGTCATGTGGGTTTTGGTAGATACCCTCAATGAAAAAGATTGACTCCTGCAAACAACAATGCAGTACAATGTAAGATTTTGTTTGATAACAAATTTATTTTAACAAAAACATAAGATATGCTGTAACAGTCTTTTGGGTCTTCACTAAAAGCCAATAAACTTGAACACTTTAACACCTGAGAAAGTACCATGAAAAAAGATATAACTATTTCAAACCTGATTGGTTGGACACTGTGCTAATAGGGAGCATGCAGAAACTTGCAGAGAATACACTGACTTCATGGTAGGAAAAGTATATACTTGAAGATAGCACATCTGTAAAGCAAAATTGACAAATGTAGTATATGTAAATAATTAGGTTACTGTTCAATGAGAAAGAGGGGTCATTTCATTTACCTTCTAGAAATGCACCTAAGCATTTCTAAGTCTAGTACCTTGCTGGAGCATTACCAAATAGATGGTAATAAGGAAGCTATAGTTGCAAAAAGGCTTTTGCACCAGCAATTACTCTGAGGCCTGTTCTTTCCAAATCAAGTCTTAATTTATTTCTTCTGTTTTTAATTTCCTGTCATGTTGTCTCACCACAAACAGATAGCTTTTGCACAAATTGCATTTATCTGATGCTTTCCTGTCAACTACCAACCTTACTATGACACAATACTTACAGTTATTCCGATAAAGCTGGAAGACCTAGGAAGAAATCATAATAGTACCTGATTTTCTGCTGTTGTGAGCACAACAAGCTTGTATTCATCATCACTTCTGCAAATATGAAAAGAATGATAGCTTCTGGTTCACAAGTTTATAGAGATCAAACTCACTTCTGCCAAATGAATGTGGTTCACAGTTCCCAAAAGCTGCGTTAAACAACAATCACTTGGTACAGAGGTATGCAGGATGTATGAATGAATCACTGTTACTATTCAGGTATGAACTACACCCCACAGAAACCAAACAAAGTTTGCTACAATGGAACAAGTGAATCTTTTGTTTTCTGTGAATGTAGTTTATCAGTACCTTTAACCAGACTATTGCAGACTACTGATGGTAAATGTGACTAATACTCATCAACCTCAATGGAAAATTTGCTCAGAGTCTGGTTAAGTTAAGAGGTTCTTTATCTAACTAGAAATCCACTTTGTGGGCAAAGCTGTCTCTACTGTACTCTACTTGATCTTGAGCAAATCTAGAAGAAAATTGTCTTTATCCAGAAGTGACTTGTTACACTTCATGCATCAGAAACATTATCCAGTCTGATAAATATATCCTAATCAAATAAATAATATGAGGAGCTCAATGATTTAAGTGAAGGAAGACTTGACAAGATCTGATATCAAAACAGCACATACTTGGACATCCCAGGAGTTTGAATATTACTGGAACTCAATAATAGAAAGTCATCTATGCTTAGATGAGGCCAGAATGCAATCATTGTCAAAGATGAAACATTCCACAAGCTCAGCATATTCTGGAGAAAAAAAGAAGATACAGAGACATGAACAATGCATGTAAGATTACAAATCCTTACAAAATGTATGACTTTTATGTCATGAATTCATATTACAAGTAACTCAAAATCATGGTAACTCTTTGCTGCCCCAGGCAATAAGAATCAATAGATTGTTCGGGCTTATGGGTTAGGCAGTATTAAATTTGCTTCAAACAAATGCAACATTTACAGACAGTGCAAGCGCACTGTTTTGGAAATCACACCAAACAATCCAGAAAATACAATTTTCATAGACTGCATGTTTAGCTTTCCTTAATGCCAGCCCTAAGATTGCAATAAGATCAATTCTTCCAAGTAAAGAGAAGAAAGCATGCTCCAGAAGGATTAGCCAGGAATAAGACTACAGAGAATCAACAGACTTAAAACCAGATCTAGTGAAGGTGACAGGCCAGGCATTTGATGGGTTTGTGGCTACGATCCATTTCAGTTTGTTTGAAGCCACTAATCATTAAATTTTTGAAGTGAAGGAAAACTGCATGCACATGTTTATTGTGCCTGTATGCACAATTGCAAAAATTAAGGCTGATGCCTCAGCACACAGATGATCTAGTCTGCAGAGGTGGGTACAACAGGCTTATTTAGTATTATCAACTAAGTTGATAACATAAATTGGCCACTGTAAAGAGTTTTAAAGCTGTAGTTTTGAAGGTTAGCTCTTTGTATATCACTCTGATGAAGGGCTAATGCTTGAGGGGGCCAATTTACATTATCAACTCAGTTAATAATTCTAAATTACCCTGTTAGACTCTCCCACCAACACAGCACCACAGTTTCTTTAGAAACTTACCCCCTTTGTTCAGATGTGGGAACAGATGTGCTAAACATGTCATGTTTTCTTTTCTCGAAATGATTTCCAGTTAGGGCTTAATTATTTAAGTATACAGACATTTGAAAATATCTCTTGGTTAGGCAGGAGCCAGCTATTAAATTTTCCCAGAGTGGTATGATGATCATTATAACAGGCACTATACATTTACCTTGTCATCCAGAACAACAAGAAAGTGACCATCACTTGATGTGTTTGCTTTAACAACACAAGATCCTGTGTATAGCAGTACAGAAGGCTATATCACTAACCTATCTCTTTACATTTAAAAGTTGTATTGTTGGGTCAGTGAACTTTCTAGAAACTGCTTTATTCCAGACACTATGGTGTAATTAAATTACTTTCAACAGATAATTTACACATCAGATTGGAATCTTTGTAAGCAACTAGAATACAGACTTAAAATCTACCAAACACCCAGCAGTAAACATACATTGTATTTGGAGTATACACTATTTCTCATTTGATATCTTATCATAATTGTAGTAGGGAAGTTATTACACACCAGCCTGCTGTAAAGCATGTTGTGTTTAGTTAAATGCCAGACCAATGTCAAGCTTGAAGAAGACAAATGTCCATCAATAAATTTATGACAGGAAAAAGCTTGGCATGGCCAGAAACTCTGGTCATGGAAGTGTGATGCAATGAAAGAAAAGATTTAATTTGGATTATGTAATCAAACAAGGAACAATTTCGAATTCAATCCTTTTTTGAGTAACAGCTGTTAGGCTGTATTGAAAACTTGTGGAGTTAAACAATGACGTCTTCCATTAAGGACTTTTTTATTGTAGGCAGATGCATCCCTTGTCCTGTAAAAACTATTCAGAGGCCTGACAAAGAATTTTGGAAACCTTGAGTATACATACCCCCAAGAATGTATGAGCTGATTGAATCCATGAGATAAATTCCATCCTCTCTGCAGCTGGCCCAGACTGCAATGGCTGCATCACCCTCACCCTACATATAAATGTAGAACCTAAAGTATCAACTGCTTACAAGCTCTAGATTGCTTTAGTGGATAGCCTGGCCTGGTACAAAGGCATTTGAATGAGTACAGTTTCATGTGGGCTCGTTAGAACAACTATAAGTCAATGTATTAACTGCTTACGAGCACCAAAAAAAGCCTTAATTTCACCTAAAAGTGAAAAACACTATGCTAGAAATGATAGCTTGGTCTGTCGCAAAGGCATTTGAACAAGTGCAGTTCAGTTAGAACAATCATGTACTTGTATTAAAACTAAGACGTATTAAAATTCTGCAAATGCAATAGAAACTGAGAATATCCTCAATTTCACAAAGCAAAACCATACCATAATCTGGAAAAAGGTGGAGCTCTTTTACCTTTGGATTTAATTTTGTAGATTTTGAGTTGCAATGTTGTAATAACAGTATCTTACATAAGTAATGTAGACAGGAGAATCCCAAAGCTGTCCAACAGTAATGCCTGAAATCTTCTCTTGATGAACAACACCAGCATCAACGGATTCAACTTGTAGCAATCCTCTCAGCTAAAAAAGTACCTCATATTTTAGTAGAGGAGGAGAAACCAGAAAAAGTTGACATGACAACACCCCTAAAAGCTTTGACATTGGATTATGATTTGCTATTGGGGAGGGGGGGGGGGAGAGAAAGAGAGAGAGAGAGGGGTGAAGTGCTCTAGGAAGTACCAATATTTCTGTGTGCAATTACATTTTAGCAATATCTCCAAAACTACTCAACTAAATAAAATAAACTTTGGAAGGATAAAGTAACTTTGGCAGTTATTTGATGTTGGAAAAAAAATGGTAAAACCATTATCATAGCAATGGTTGCTCAGAAAAAAAAATTGTAATATAATAAAATATTGCTGGAAAGGATAAATGGCAGATGCTGTTCACTCAAACAACCTTGCACTGCTCTAGAGACATGCATCAACAATCACCTAGTCAATAGGTCATCATCACTACTGTGTGTGTCAATCAGGGAGTCAGTAGGCTCTGATAGAGCTTCCAATTGTGTGACGTTTGTGTGTTGATTGGAGAGTCAATGAGCTCTGAAAAAAGCGTGCAATTGCAAAAGATTTGTATGTCCATTGGGGGGTCAATGAGCTCTGAAAAAAGCTTGCAATTGCAAAAGATTTGTATGTCCATTGGGGGGTCAATGAGCTCTGATAAGAGTTCTCAATTATACAAACTTTGTGTGTCAGTAGGGGAGTAAACATACACTAATAAGGGCTCCCAACTGCAAGAAGTGTGAGTGTTGATTTGGGAGTCAAAGAGCTTTGATAGGAGCTCCCAATTGTAATAAGTTTGACTGTGGATTGGGGTGTCAATGAACTCTAATAAGACCTCCCAGCTTTGAGAGGTTTGTGAGTCAGTTGGGCTTTTAGAGGTTTGAGAGTTGATCAGGGAGTCAATGAGCTCTAACAAGGGCTTGAAATCACAAAATATTTGTTTTGAGCTCTGATGACAGCTCTCAATCACAAGAAATGTGTAAGATGACAAGGAAGTCAATGAGCTCTGATGAGAGCTCCCAATTGCAAGAAATGTGTAAGTTGATTAGGGAGTCAACGAGCTCTGATGAGAGCTCCCAATAGTAAGAAACATGTGAATTGATTGGGGAGTCAGTGAGCTCTGATGAGAGCTCTCAATCACAAGAAATATGTAAGTTGATTGGAGAGTCAATGAGCTCTGATGAGAGCTCCCAATCACAAAAATTATGTAAGTTGACTGGGGAGTCAATGAGCTCTAGTGAGAGCTCCCTATCACAAGAAATATGTAAGTTGACTAGGAAATCAATAAGCTCTGATAAGAGCTTCCGATGGCAAGAACTGTGTAAGTTGATTGGGGACTTAATAAGCTCTGATGCGAGCTCCCAGTCATAAATGAGTAAGTTGATTGGGAAGTCAATGAGCTCTGATGTGAGCTTTCAATAGTAAGAAATGTGCAAGTTGATTGGGGAGTAAGAGAACTCTGATGTGAGCTCCCAATCACAAGGAAAGTATGAGATGACTGGGAAGTCATTGGGCTCTGATGAGAGCTCCCAATCACAAGAAATTTGTAAGTTGACTGGGAAGATCCCAAGAAGTTTGTATTTTGATTGGGGAGTCAATAAGCTCTGATAAAAGCTCCTGATTTTTAAAAAGTTTGTTGGTCGATCAAGGAGTCTATGAGCTCTGTTAACAGCCCAATTGCAAGAAATTTCTACGTTGATTAGGGAATCAGTGAACTCTGATGTGAGCTCTTGATACCAAGAAGTTTGTACCTCAATGTGGGAGTCAATGAACTCTGATAAAAGCTCCTGATCACAAGAAGTTGTGGGATGATCAAGGAGTCAATGAGTTCTGATGAGAGCTCTTGATCACAAGAAGTTTGTGTGTCAATTAGGGAGTCAATGAGCTCTGATAAGAGCTCCTGATCACAAGAAATTGTGTGTTGATCAGAGTCAATGAGCTCTAATAAGAGCCCTTGATCCCAAGAAGTTTGTATTTTGATCAGGAAGTCAATGAGCTCTGATGGAACTCTGGATAGCCAATAGTTGTATTGGTTACTCAGGCCGTCATGGGTGATGGGTGATTTGGTAGGTGAGGAAAGGTCTGACAGCTGATACACAGAGTAGTTCTGAAATTTGCAGTAATTGTGAATACTCTTACAAGTGAGTTTCCACAATAGGCATTGTTGGCTTGAGCTTGAGACAATGGCTAGCTCACTCAAAAATGCCATTTTTGAACACAAATTGGATAAACGATTTTCAAAGTGAAGGGGAAAGTGATTCCTCTTAACCAATTTTCAACCTTGAAAAGGGAAGATTGTTCTACTGCTCACCATACAAAAAATCAGGAAGGAAGTCAGGAGGCTGTTAAACCACCTTCTTACAGGAGCAGTTATGCCACATGATTTGGGCCTAATTAATTGCATACTGATGAAGTTGGATTTTGGGAGCCTACCAAAGATGAACATCTTAACATTTGCACTTTTGTCAATAAAGGATATGGTGAAATTTGGGAATGAGAAACATTAAACACTGAGCACAGACAGGAATTAACTTGCTTGACTGCTTGTGGTGTCAAGAGTCAAGATTAAGAGATGACTGTTTACCATTCCTTGACAGGTCTCTAAGAAAGACACCAAAGAGCATGCCATAAGGTGCCTTTGAAGAAGAAGTTGAAGTTCTACCAAGACTTCATTTACAAAATACTGCTTGACTTTCAACTGTATTAATTAGATGGTATCATGGCAATTGTGTAGATGAGGGGGAAGGTACATTTAGAAACTGTTGGGGAGCTTGACAAGAATCACTTTAAGGTCTGACTGTCCCACTTGGGAATAATAATTACAATTGCATGGATGTTGTTTCGATCTCTATGACAAGGAGAACTCCATTAAAGATGAGGAACAAGTCAAAAGAGGGTCATCTACCAAGTCATGAAGTTAGAATATTAAGTTCAGTCGAGCATCCCACATGAAGTAACTACAAAAGTTACCCTGCCTCCCCTAAATTTTACAACATTTGGTTGAGTAGTTCTGGAGATATTGATAAAAGGTGCCTGAAACCAAACATATTTATACTTCCAAAAGCACTCCACCCCCCTCAAATTTAGTGCATGGCGAGTCACTGACCCTACAATTGGTGACTATGACTGGTGTATCATGCAATTATAATAGAAAGTCAAACCTTTTGAGTTGAAGGGGGTGCTATGTAGTGCCTTTTCCAGACCTCTTTTTGGAATCCCTTCTTGACTTTTGAATAAAATGTACCTTTATCTTAGGAGTGTGGGGAGCAAGGTTGAACATGGGGGAGGGGGGGAAGGGAGGGGGGGGGGAGGGGTGGGCATTAAAGGGGTAAGGTTAGACTTGAGTTGATATAAAGTTGGAGGTTGCATTTGAACAGTTTAGCCAGTTGCAAATGATGAATAACCGCTGGACTATAAGTACTATAAAACAAGGAATGTGTAGAGGAGAATACCAAAACATGACTGCATTTCATGATTCTCTAGCACATGTAATGTTTTGAAAGTTTTTGCAATTGAAAGAGCCATGAGCAAGTGAAATGTTAAAACCTTTCAAAACATGATGAGTGACAGTAAATCACAATATACACAAACACTTCATGCTATTTATTTATAGTATTTGCTACAAAACCACTCTCTCACTCTTCCATGTATGTCCCAGTTGCTCATTTCTCAAAACACTTTTTAACAGGATGGAAAATGTTTGTGCTTTCTTTACACTACAATGGCCATTTTATATCCAGAATAACTGTGACTGACAGACAAAGTTAAATTAAGTTAAATCAATGAAACAACTCATATGGAATATTTTGGAATTTATAGTGGCATTAATCACTCATCATTAAAAAGCTTCATATTCCATGAAGTAGAATACAGAAAGGCTGAATTGCACTCCACAACCTATGAATGCTTTTGTCACTGACTAATCAGGACTAAGATACCAAAAAGATTCAATCCGGAGCCCTACCTCCATAAAGTGCCTCCTCTCTAATAAGCCCCCCCTCCCCCTGCAAAGTTGGCAAAACACTCATGTATACTAAGTAAAAGGGGAAGGAGTATAATATACAATTGTATAACACTAAACCAAACTCACTTACTTCAGTAACAACTTCAAACTGCCCTCCATTAATAGCTATTGATCAAGATCATATGTGTTAGTGACTGAACAGAGATTTTTATTAATTCCCTTTTACAGAGAAGATAACAAAATATTGTAAAATGCAGCAACCTCTTTATTTTAAACAGTAATCAATAACTAAGCATGCGTTACAATGAACTCACACAATCCATCTGATTGCCAAATTGATTTCCAAATTACATATATTTACTGCTTTTGATAAAACTCCAGAAGACATGAAACTAGAAATCAAATGTTATTGTAATGCCAGCAGGGGATGTTTATGGACACATACCGTCATTCAATTTCTGGAGATAAAGGTTAGAGAACTGAGTGATCATGCCAGAAGCAGACAAAATGACAAGCTTACATCCTCCTGTTCACAACAGAAAGAAAAAAAGTTGAATTTAATCATAAGCCTTACATGAGCCAAGCTTCTTCTACATTTATGTTATGGCTTGCTTGAGAAAACAGACAAAATTTACGAGTCAGATTACTTCTCAAACACTCTTTAAGGCTTACAACTCAACATCATTCAAGATGGATACATAAAATTATAGAATATATGATAAGCTAATTAATTTTACATTTTGATGTCATCTATGACCTAATACTGAACAGACGCACAGTATCATGGAATCTATTTGTCAAATATGAAACCTTTTTGCTAAAGGATTGTGAAACAAATTCATGTTAAGCTCAAGCCTGAAGTCCATGCAAGTGGCTTACAAAAGAAGAGCTTGTTTCCATCACATTGGGATACTAAGACTCACTATTGCCGAACTCCATGTCCCTATGTGGGAATGCTAATCAGCTTAGGTTACCAAACCAATTTCCTGCTTAATGTAAAAGAAACTATCGGATGACCCTGGCATCACTTCTCTCATGGAATGTTCACTGTTAACTTCTCATAATCATCACTATCATAGTTATTATTACTATCAATACTTTTATCATTAAGTTACAATCATACCTTCACATTTAGGAGTTGTAAACAACATAGAAATAAAGGTACATTCTTCACTGCATTTTAAATTCCCATTGGATTCAAGCTCCTGAGAAAAAATTATGAACAGGATAGGATCAAATTCCTGCTGTACAACAAGTAACTAATGACAAAAATTTCTTCTAAAGAACAAAAGCAAAATTTCACTTTGTATTTTAATGTCCTTTGAAAGTTAATTAAAACTGATAAATCTAAATCAAGGAGCACCTCTAGGAAACTTCAGTTGTTAACTGAGATGCAACCAAGAAGGCAACAAAGATCAAATCTTAAAAATCCATCTGATTCAAAAGTTACAAAATGTGCTTGCAGCCTGACCCCATACCTGTGCCTATATTAAAGCAAGTACTTTATCATTGTTATTTGATCATTACACAGTTTTCGTACCCTACAGTTCCAAAGAGGCTGAGGTTGTCCTCTTATTTCTGAACCTTGTTTATATGGCAACCTATGATTATTACCCGAGTTTTATCTGGAGTATGCAAAATAATTAAATAACATGATCAGATTTGCAGAGCTTTTCCAAGCATAGAGTTTGAGCCTTAAAGTTTTGAACCTCTTCCAAACCTAATGATCACAGGAAGCTGATGAAATGAATAACCAAAATCACTGTTTGTTGTCATGAGAAGAAATCATAGCAACAGGGATTTTATTTTTATATTTCAGCACTGCTCTTGCAACAGTGGATTCAAATACCTAAAAAACAGTTTTTATCCTACCTGAGAAAACAGTACTTGCCTTGATGCTGAATGAACAAAGTGGAAAGTCCCTGACCTAATTAAGATTGAAAAGTTATCACTAAAACACTTTCCACTTATTCCTTAAGCAGGGAAGAACATTAACATGGGATGTAAGAAGTGTGACCTTCAATGGGTGTAAAGACTAATGCCTGTTAGAATGATGCTACAGTCACTGACAATACAAAACTGCTCTCACTGAGAATCAGCTGCATGCTTGCAGCTGATCTAAATAGAGATAATGACATCAACAGGTACATGTAACAATGGTATTTACAAGCATTTACTCAAATGAATCTTTACCACACAAGATTCAAACCATTGGGTTTTGCTTCCCAATCCCCAATCATAAACCTTGGCAAAGGGAGATTCATTTATGCAGCACACCTTAATTGGCATATGGCAAAAACTAAATGTATGTCCTTTGAATCAAGTAAATATACCTTTCACCAATGGCAAGAAACAAGGAATCTTCACTCCATGCTATGCAATCAATCTCACATTCTTTAAAACAAAAAAGGCAATCAAAAGATGAGACAAAGGCAGCAGTTTTATCAAAAGCCAGTTATTAGCTCTCTAGGCTGCCTATAAGACCTCTAGCTACATTCAGTTTAGTTTGCAAGCAGGCTGTCCTGTTTGGGTCTAGGTCTTAGCCCCTTACACCTCAATGTCATCGTGCATATTCTCTATACTGTTCTTTATACATTTCTTAAGAGGCCAACTAGGAGTGTTCAACAATCAAGAGCTGCTTCAGTTGGTGATCATCTCCTCAATTCTCATGACTTTTATGTTTGATTCAGGGGTCATATAGTGGGAGAAATTAGATGCTAGTCACTCTTAGGGGCTAAAGGATTTTGGCCCCTTTCTGGGTACAGCTACCTGTTATACTATTGACAGCCACTTATGGAAATACTGTAGTTATTGAAACCCCAGCAAGGGTTTGAAAAATTCTTCTGTACTAACCAAACATTCATCAAACAATGCATTAAACTGAAATAAACAAACCAATCCAATTCAAATCAATGTATTAAAAGAACAAAGTTTCTTACCAAAATTGAATGTTGCAAGAATATCATTGCAACTTGCATCAAACATAATCACTTGAGATGAAGCAACGAAACAAAATCCCTCAGGACAGGAAGCACCACAGATGTGAGGACAACTCTGTATCTGTTAAACAATTGATTACCATTAAAATAATTCTCTTTACAGTTATTCTACTTGGATCCTTTTTGCAGAAACTCAGAAAACCATGATCAGCACAAGTATTTCTAGAACATGATTGTGTCAAGGAAAATACACCAATTAGTCCTGTAAGAGTGACTAGCATCCAGTTTCTCCTTACAATATCACCTCTGAATCAAACTTTAAGGTCATGAGAATAAAGGCAGTGATCACCAACTAAAGAGACTCTTGATTGTTAAACAAATTCTTCTTGTCAGCACCTTGGAAAATGTTTTGAGAATGTTATAGAGAATTTGCATAATGATGTCAATTGCAAAGGGGAAAATTAGTTTGTGGTTTTGTAGTTCCCTGGACATAAAGTATTTCAGGTGTTCATTATTTTCTGAGTTTGAAAGTAACTTCTTCATCAACACAATATGTGATTTAGGTTACGAAAATGTATTCCTCAATTTTTTGTTGTGGTTTTAGTCCCAAAAAGTGTTTGTCTTGCCCTGTTCATCACAAAATTCAGCCCCAACAAGGAAGGGAGGGGGGAGAATCGGAGAGAGAGGGGTGGGACACTGTCT